CATTGGCAAGAATTACCATTCACACACTCAAGCTTGAATTCTTCCTCTCATAGTCCGGATATGGAGAATTATTATTATTATTATTATTATTATTTCTGAGAGTGAGAGAAAAGTAAGACGGGAAAGAAATATGAATATATATATATATATATACACATCTACATCTACATCTGCATTGGCAAGAATTACAATTCACACACTCAAGCTTGAATTCTTCCTCTCATAGTCCGGATATGGAGAATTATTATTATTATTATTATTTCTGAGAGTGAGAGAAAAGTAAGACGGGAAAGAAATATGAAGATGGAAGGGCATGTGGGGCAACAGTCCCACTAAAAATTTGAATAAATGTTTCTTACAGCCTATTAGCAGAGGAACGAGGGGCCCAAAATAGGTTGAAATCATCAGGATGGGCCTTGAAGATGATCGACAGCAGAGGGGTCATTTGTTGGAGAGAGATGAGCCACGTTGATAATACAAGTGATTGGACTTGGGTCCAGTCTAAGGCCCAAACCAATCAAAACAGAGGACACACATGCCCACATACATTTTCATAGGTGAGCTATAAGTCACAGTAAATCGTGACTCTCAAGTCTCTGATCCGCATTTGGTGACAACAATTGGTTTCATGTCATCATTAGCTGCCCGAGTTTTTGTGCTAAGGTATTAGAAAACAGACTAAGGGTTAATTTGCCAAAGTTGGTTGACAGCAATTGTTGGGTTGGGTTATGGTATGTTGTTATTAATGTTATTGTTTGTTATTTGTGTCATGCATCTATCTTTAATTTTCACCGCCTAAAAATAATAGGGTGAAGTGCAAAAAAACACCCTTTAAGCATGTTTATAGTGCATATCACACCCTTTCCGTACAAAAAATACTCCTCAAGTTTCAATTTGGTGCAATCAAGTCCCTCTTGCAAATTTAAAATCAAATTTGACTAAAGTACCCTTAGTCAATAATTTTATAAAATATATAAAAATACAAAAGTTTGTAAAAAAACCAAAAAGGACAATAAACAGCCTCTGCCTCTCACGCGACAGCCGGCACCGGCAAGCAAGGAGAAGACGGGCTCCGCCATCGTTGCACAGCCATCAGTCCAGCCGAGCTTCATCACAGCCGAAGCCACTGCCGAACCGAAACCATCTCACCGGCCGTCCATCTCCGCCGGTCCACTGATCCAAAGCTCACTACGGCACTCCATCCTAAGTCGCCTTTTCAGCCATCTAGTCTGCTTCTGTCATTGCCGAAGAGGTTGTGATTTTTGTCGGCATTGTGAATCTGGCCGTAAAGAAGAAGCTCGGTGGATGGAGAAGAACCCACCGGCGACTATTGATCCACGGATGGGCGGGCGGCCAACGAGATCTCATAGAGGTTATGAGCAAGGGGCAGTGGAATCGGCTGGACTGAACTCAGCCGTGATGAAAACGGTGGCTCGCGGCGTGATGGCAGTGATGATTAATATTGATGGCGATGATGGATGTGCACGGCTAGAAAGGTGATATTGTGAAATAGGGTTTGAATTGGGTTAATGGGATCGACGTATAACAGAGAACCCATCATCAATTGCTTCGTCGCTGACGACAGTGGCAAAACAGTGGAAGAAAACCCTATCTTAGCAGACCTAAAATCAGAGATTGCAATTGAGCATTTCTTTGGAAGCTTTGATGCCCACAGGCGAACTTCGATACCCATCGTTGTCGTCACTGCCACCGGTGCTTTCTCTCCACCCTCCTCTACGACCTTGTCCCCGACGCCTCTTTTCCTGTGACATTGCCCTCCGCTTTGCTACCGTCGCCGACCTTCCAAATCATCCATACTGTCTGTTAACTTCAGAACCTTTAATCTTGCGCCAAACCAAGAAGTGGTAAGTGTAACTAATACTCGAAAGAATAATGATTTAAGGAGGAATTCGGAATTTGGAGTCCAAGTATATCTAATGCTCCTCTTTGTTGGTACAAGTCTAAAATATGGAGATCTGGGATTGTAAGACCGGGTAGATGCAAAGAATGTTAGAACTTTTCCTGCTTTTAGCTGTGTAATTATTTGTATATTTTAGCTTTTAATTTCATGTTTTAGCTTTTAATTGGATGTCTATTGATTCGGTGATGATGATGAAGAAGAAGAGTGAAAGTAAAATTGGGTGTAGAAGAAGACAGTGGTGGGAGGAACTGGCGGCAGAGAGTAGAGAGAGAAGGAGGGGTATTTTGGGAAGACTAAAAGGGCAAAATGGATATTACAGCAATAATTTAGGGGTGTTTATTGCACAGAGGGGTAATTTTGCACAATTTCAAAAGACTACGGATGTTTATTGCACACTTTTTCAATTAGGGAGTAAAAATGCTACAAAAAGTATACTTCAAGGGTGTTTCTGCACTTCCCCCAAAATAATATAATTAATTGATCTTGATTTATGTTAAATAGGAAATATCCAACCAAGAACAATATATAGATGGAAGTGGAGATTAGAGGAGGAGTTAGGTTCAATCATTTTAAACATTGCAAAGGACCATATGGCTAGCTGCAAATTCATCTGAAACGACATTTTACATAAGATCATTGAAGTCGGCCACTACACAAGTCAAAACCATATTTAATTATTCAGTCATCAAACAACTCAAATTATTTGAGTATATTACAATTATTATGAAAGCCGGTGAGAGTAGAGAAAGAAAACGAAAAAAAGGCCAAAGATTAATGAATTGATGTCGAACAACACAACAAGGACCACAGTACCAATATCTTCTTTCCATCATTGATGTCAATCACTTGCTTTACTGCATAGTGCACAAAATCATGTACGATAAAAATATTATAAATTTGTCAAAATAGGTACCCTGATTACTTGATATTATAAATTTAAGTTCTGATGAGGGTACATGAGTGAGAACCCAACACCAGTTAAGACAGGTACCCTGATGATATGATCCCAATAAAGCTCTTTGAATTTCTCGGAAGCTCAAACTCTCAGATCTATATATTTGGATTGTAGGTTCACAATCGATGATAGAAAATCGACGCTCAATCAAAACTTAATCATCAATCCACGCTCAATCGTTTAGGGTTTTCTAGTGAAGAAGGCTGTGGAGTTATCTTTTGAAGTGATTTTCTTTCACAAGTCTTTTGAAGGAAAAAACATGAATCATGTTCGTTATAAATTTAATTTAAACTAGGAAATTAGACATTACTTAAACACGTTAATTAAACGCAGTAAATAAGAAAGAAAATGTGGTAAACCATAACATAGAATAGGCATCATATATATATTTTTGAATGAGTCATGACAACGAACTTGGATCCCATTTTGTTGCATCATCCTGTAATGGCTTCGATCGCCTAGCATTTCAATATATATATATATATATACACAAACTACTTCAGAAGAGTGCTCGATCGATCAAGTAAATCATTAACAAACATTTCTGCTTTCCTTTCATCCTTTGACAAATTCTTGAACAGCCGGCACCCAACTTCATCTCTGCCATCTCTTCTGTTTTTTTCCCGAGATGAACCCTAGAAGATCAACAAGTCTACTTATTATCTTTTCATCTATAGAGCTTGCAACTTCATCAGTAATGTTTCTGAATAGCTTTTTAACTTCTTCAGATAGACAGCTCACCAAGATTTTCAGCAAACTACTGACAATCTTCTGCTTGATTTCGTGCATCCAACGAGAAACCAGCCTCTTGATCGAGTACAACAATGCCACTATTTTTCGTATTCCAGCTTCAATCACATTTTTTAAATATAAAACAGTTTGCTTCACCTTCTCCAACAAGTAATTAAAGAAGCGCTTTGCAAGATCAACTAATTCATTGATCTTCTTGAACAGAAAATCTAGTAAAGAAGAAGCCATAAGCTTTTATTTTTGGTACTAACTTATGTTGCTTTAAATCCTTATTCCACACATATATATATAGGAGTTGTTATTGGTGTATATGAAGTCTGAAGATCAGTAAGTTGGAGAATTTGATGAGTCGATCTGATTTGGACAATTCCCAGATTCATTGCTTATTGGATTTTGTAGCTACATGTACGCATACATTGCACACGAATTTGTTTGGAAAACGTACAGTGTACCTTTAAGATTGATACATTCATACATACATATACCAGCATTCTCGTGATTGATGCATGGGGGTGTTTTAAGAAGAGCGTGAGAATGCAAAACGGTTCTGCATAGGTAGGCAAATCTAGGCTGTCCAAGTTGGAACTAAAATGCGTAGTGTCAACAATAATACCTCTGCTATGACTCTGGTGTAAACTAAATTTCCTCTCCAAACTCAAATCATAAGTAATTCGGTGATTCTAAATACCACATTAAACCAAATCAAGGTAACTCCTTTTTGAACAATGCTCCGGTCCATCTCAGGTAGTCAGGTTGGATGAACTTCATCTAACTTGCTAATGTGGTTCAATAAAAATAAAATTGGGACAAAGGTTAACATTAAATATAAAATTAAATTGGACATTGCTTAACTTTTACTTTTGGACATGTGTTTAAATCTTAACTTTTATTTTTGAACACTTGTTTTAGATCTATCCAATTCATCCACCCTGAATTGGATCTAACTATTGTTAAGTCCCAGTCTCCACACGGTATATTGTACACCGAACTTAGGTAACCCCCCAAATCATCCACCCTGAATTGAATCTAACTATTGTTAAGTCCCAGTCTCCACACGGTATATTGTACACCGAACTTAGGTAACCCTCCAAATCACGCAAGTAAATCCAGCCGCCTACCCATCCTCCTCTCTCCAGTGTCGCCCTCCCACAAATCACGCAAGTAAATCCAGCCGTTGGAAAAATCCAACGGTCGTCCCCAGCAGGCCTTCTATTTTGGCCCTCCCCAACGTCTATTTCTATTGATCACTTTCCGCTATCAACGGTCACATTTATCTCTCCACAAGCATTTTTTTATTTTGAAAAATAGACCCCTCTCTCATCTCAGTCTTAATATCCGTTGCCGCATACCACACACCGACCCAGATCAGCAAACAATAATTACATGACAACGCGGTCTAAATTCTAATAATAGACAGGCCAATCCAAATGCCAGAAGACGGCTCTTAAAGCCGGCCCCCACTCCGTCAGCATTGGGGATCCCATGCCACAACTCCCCTCTTTCTCTCTCTATATATATCTCTACTCTCTCTGTCTAGAAGAATACACCTCTATTTAGTATCCAATTCACTTTCCAAGTTTATCTCAACAAAACCCACCACAAAACCTTCATTAGTGCCAACTGCCAACCCATCTTGTTGAGGATTGTCCTTCTTTACAACCTCCTAACTAAATACAATCCTCCTCAATTTGGCCCCCAAATAGCTTATTAATTAGAACCCACCTCCCTCCTTCCCTTCTTGGCTCCAACCCCCCCAACGCACCACTCCCTCCTCCTCCACCTCCAGTATCAATTTATTTTATAAAGTACCATCTTCGAACCCTGGGTATTAGAATGGACTCCGACCAGCTACAACGCGTCTTCCAAATGTTTGATCACAATGGGGATGGCAGGATCACCAAGGAGGAGCTCAATGACTCATTGGAGAAGATGGGTATCTTTATTGCTGACACAGAGCTAATCCAGATGATCGAGAAGATTGATGTTAATGGGGATGGCTGTGTGGACATCGATGAGTTTGGAGCATTGTACCAAACGGTAATGGACCAGCAGGACGCGGAGGAGGAAGACGAGGACATGAAGGAGGCTTTCAAGGTGTTTGATCAAAATGGGGATGGCTTTATCACGGTGGAGGAGTTGAGGTCTGTTCTGGCATCCCTTGGGCTTAATCAGGGAAGGAGTGTGGAGGAGTGCAGGAGGATGATAATAAGGGTGGATATAGATGGAGATGGGATGGTCAGTTTCAGTGAGTTTAAGGAAATGATGAAAGGGGGTGGTTTTGCTGCATTGGGTTGATCTAAATGGACCTCGGGGTGTTTCCGTTTGTTCATAATTGATTGTAAATAGTTTTATTATTAATTGATATATTTCTTTAAATAGTTTCATTATTAATTGATATATATCTTTAAATAGTTTTATTATTAATTGATATATTTCCTTAAATGGGTTATACATTTTCAACAATTTTTAGAATGATTTACCATGCAAATTAGCTCACCCCACACACACGCAAAGACTTCATGCAACTCGGTTTTAGCCATCAAGGTGAACCCAATCAAATACATTGAGCAAGTCAACAATTTGTTTCTAGAAAATGATAAATGGATTTATAATAAGGGCGAGAGACAGAGGAAAAGAAAGTGAGATAGAGAGAGATGCTATGATACAAGCTGCACTTAACTCTATTATCCACTGTCTGAATCCTCCTCTGATTGTTCCTCAACTTCTTGTATGCTCTTAACTATATCAGCAACTTTTCTTGATATATGTTCTGTGTGTTTCTCCAAATCCATCAGAATCATATTCAACTGTTCTTCATATGCAGAACACCGTCGTTTACATTTTTGCCTCTCATTGTACAGCTCAAGTGATAATTCTCGAATTCTTTTATCCTTCTCATCCTGCAATAAATGAATACATAGGTCAATAATGTACTAAAGAACTAACTAAATAATTAAAAGAAACTGAGACTCAATATTATATGATGGATATACAACATCAAATTCTTAAAAAAGGAGAAATCACATTAGGGATGATATAGACTTTGCTACCCATAAAACATACAGCCACCAGCAAGCGCTAAATCACACACTTTGGCATTCCATGAGCCAAATAATTAGATCCCAGTCTTGTGAACTATTTGCTGACTAGAGCAGACTATTAGACATACCAAATATACTAGCAACATTTTAGATCGCATTTGAAGTATTCAATCCAAAATCAAATAATATGGAAAAGGGAGGAAAAGTGCAGGACAAAGTAAAAAAGTTAAGTTTTACCCACATCACAAACATAAATATCAGTTTGAGGATCAAATCAACTTTTATCTAATGTAAACAAAATGCAGATGTCAAAAGAGAAAAGTGGGGGAAAAAAAAGAAAGAAATAATTCAAAGGACATTATGTAAATGTTCATTACTTGCATGCATTGGCAGTAAATTATAGTAATACTCATAACTAATTATGAGGACATATTTAGAGATACAAGGTGAGAACACTATCCTTGCCTTTTCAAGACCAGTTGGTACATGCTACACTATCAAGGGGAAGATCCTTGCTCTCTTTAAAGGGTTGCATGACAGCCAAGGTGCTTTCTTAGTTTTGATTGAAGGAGAATTTTGGGTTGCATGAAGACAGGATGCCCTGTGTCTTGGGGAACTCTTAAAGGCTGTTATTATTCTCATAAAACTGGTTCTTGGTCTTCAGGTTTGTTTCCTTTTTGTTCTTGGTGTCGGAAGTAAACACTGTAGCTGGGGCTATGCCTATGTTATGCCATGTCAAATTTACACAAGGCATGACCAAGATTGTTAAAATTCAATCACATAGCCATAATGGTAAAACAATTTCACTTTTTGCAAAAAATGTATAAGCTCGTTAGCTGCAATAAGATTGTAACAAAACGGATTTAAAGACCATGGTATATTTTTAAAAAGAAAAAGAAAAAATAATTACCTCACTGATTAAGTGCTTCCCGGATCCGCGCCACGGAACTTTACTGGGAGACATAAGTTTATGACTGTGCTCGTTAATGAATTTGGTTACAACCCACTTCTCTCCATCTCTAAGAGCTAGCCTTATCATTGCTTGACATCCTTCTCTAGTAACTGGGGGTGGAGGAAGAATTCTGTCTTTTCTATAGACATACTTCTTTGCACGAAAACCTTCTTTTGAACAGACAAAATCCTGACCAATAACCTGATTGTTCACTCGGGAACGACGATTGTGGTGTATACGGACGGTGAAACCAGTACGCCTACCATAGGCAACATAAAATTCTCTAGCTTCGTCTCTAGAGTTGAACTCCATGCCAATGTATGGTTCCAAAGCCTCCATATTTGAGGGCAGCTCTCCAAAAGATTGATCTATCATATTATCATCTTTCCCCGCATAGAAATCCAATTTCTTTGAAAGCTCATCTCCTGGGATCTCATGTTCTCCAAAACTTTCAGATTGCATATCTAGGTCACTTTCGTCTGAATCAAAACCTTGACCAGATGTGCTATCCATTAAGCCTCTACAGAGAAAGTAGACAAATCATTCTTCACATTGTATTGTGTCTCATGATACCCACACAAAGGAAACTGCTAAAGTCAAATACACTCAATGCAAAGCCTAGGAGGCCAATTACTTTTGAAATAGATCTTTAGGGGTAAATCGATTTCATGTCTAGTATAAAAAATTGTATTCTTAGCTGAGAGAAAATGTAGACTTAAAGTAATTTTTGACAGAATGGTCATTTTGAGTGGTATTTAGATGATGCTTCCATGAGCAATTCTATATTATGTAAAGCATGAAAAACAAATGCCAAAGAGAAGAAACTAACAATATAGGTGAAATGCTAACAACAACATATGGCTCAACGGTTTACTCGTTGGACTTTGGAGCTTAGCAAGCCCAAGGTCTGGGGTTCGAGTCCCACTGGGTGTTCTTTGTGGCAAGCATCCACTGTCCCTATAGTAACTTACCCGGCCCGGGTAGGGAGGCACTCTTCTGGGTCCTCGGGGATTAATCGGATTGTTGAGGGGTCCTAAGGGTTCGTGCCATCCCGGATATCCCGGTTAATGAAAAAAAAACATAGCAATAACAAAAAGTAAGCTTGTGAAACAAAAGAGGAAGAAACATGTGAGCTTGAAGGAAACCCGGTAATGAAACAATACGCATTTAAAATAATAATTCAAAAAACGAAAAGATTCCATGAACGGTGCAAAGGAAGATGTCTCAAACCTTTGTTTGAGATAAGGCTCTTTTGGGTGCCTCTGAGGAGCTACTTATCTAAAGATAACATTTCAATAATTTATTAAATATAAATTGATCAACTACAAGTATGCTAAATATCCTTTATGGGTTGATTTACCATATGCATCAATTACATGAACTTGTATCTCGACTAAATGCACCTTTTTTTTTTTTTTTTTCCTATTTCCAGAACAATATCATACTGAGGTGCATTAAGTCGTGTTCATTCTCAGAAGTTCAAATTGACCATATTAAATACCATGTACTAACATAAGATTAACGTATCAGTCGCTATATAACATAAGCCTTTGTAGTAAACACAATAACCTACGATTTTCATACTATATAGTTCTCATGGATAATGTTGTAGCTAGTTGTAACAATATCAACAAATCACAATGACAATTTGTTTATTTAATTTTTTTTTTTTTAAAAAAAAGGGAAAAAATTTCAGTGAATAAGAAGGAAAAAAATAAAAAGTTCCAATCTAACTTAAAGTTTACACAGTAACACAAATATTCAGAATTTCAGTAAGATAAATTTTAGGGAGATGGATGAATGGAGGCTTGGGATTTGATAAACTTACCAGTGGGAAAAGGGTGGTAAGAAGCGACGGTTTCAGAATTCAAATTGGAAAACCTAGATCGATCTTTGAAGGTTTCATTTGGATACTTTTTATTCTGTTGAATTGAAGAGATGTACAGCCAAAGGAAGTGGTGCATAGTAAGTGGGTCTGGCAAGATGGTTTACCATTGCTGTGAGCTGCACAGCCCAACAGGCGGCGATTCTCGCGTTTGGTTACAAATGATAGAGGAAGAGAGGAAAGGAGGAGGGAGAGTTATTGCATGAGGGGGAGGATTTGATAGGAAGGAAAAAGAGTGTAAAAGGTGTTACTATGGTCCATTTACCTTCTTAATTTTCATTTTTATTTTTTACAATCCCTACAATAAACTAAAAATTCCATTTTGGCAACATTTTTGTTTTGTGTTTTTGTTATTAAAATATAAACAAAAATAAATTGTGAAAACATGTTTACTTTCTTTTCAACAGTTGTAGGAAGATTTTTTTAAATAAAACAATATAATGTAAAAACTATTTATTTTTAATAATCTTCCAAATATATATATATATATATATAACACAAAAGAGAAAACGGTTATTGAATGAGACCTTGCCCTTTTTCTTTTAGTAATTCATAAATTAGTGCATTACATTCGCTCTTAGACGAACCAATTTTGTCAATTTTACTGTACTACAACTATAAGTTACAGACCAATGTTAGTAAATAATATTATTCTTTCTTTTTTTCTTGTATTCATACAAAAGTAATGTTAAAAAAAAGCACAAATTTATTGCATTTATACCACAAATGTCTCACTTTCCCAAAATGGACCTTTTTTTATTTTTTTATTTTATAGATAACGTATCGTTGAGTCACTCATTAGTATTTTATAGTCTTTAAGTGCAAAAGAATGACTAGGAGGTAATTTTCTTTTTCTTTTTCTTTTTTCTCTCTTTTTCTTTTTAAAATTTTTTATTTAAATTATGTGAACTTTTAGTCTTTGTATTTTTTGTTTATGATTTTTCTTGTTTGCAATATTTTTTAAGTGATGACATATTATTAAAATATTATTATTACACCGTCGCTGCATTTTTTTTTTTCGGTTGATTGTGTTGCTACTTGCTACATTATGAAGTGAATATATATATATATATATATATATATATATGTATATATATTTTTATCATGTTCATCAAAAAGGAATGTGAATTTCAATATTTAATTTTATAACCTATCTCTATTCAACTCCTTTAACATCAATTTCCGAACAATATTTATAGCACTTCAATAATAGATTGAATTAACTTTAAAATAAGTTTTTATTTGATTTTTTTATTTTGTTTGGGATAAACATCATAAACTGTCTACTTAAACAAATAGCAATTATTATATGGTTTCTAATATTACAACAATTGTTAAGATTTTAGTTTGGTTAGATGGAAAAAAGTAAGAATAGAAAATAAATGAATAATTACTTTTTAGTATGTATTTGGTTAGCATAAAAAATTATTTAAGAAAATATAATTTGTTATTTTGAATAGCATGAAATTGGTATGTTCTATGATTTCAAATACTAATAAATAAATGAAATTGTATTTGATGTTGTCTATTTTTAACAAAGAAATAGTAAAATGATGGATTATTAAATTTAATAATATAATTATTTATATTTAAAATAAGATTTCATTATACTTTCTTAGGTAGAAATAAAACTAATTATTAGTTTAAGAGAAACAAATAAAAAAAAAAAAAAAAAAAAGCAATGACAATACATGATGACAAATACTAAATTTGTGAGAGATTTGGTTGTATCTTGTTGTTGCCGGCCAATTATATTTGAATTTGTGGAAAAACAAGAAAGAGTTGTTTGCAAATAAATCACCAATTTAAAACCAAATAAAAAAGGAAGTTGTTTTGCATTGATGAGTAAAATAGAAATGTAAAATAAAAAAAAATTGCAAAAATATTTTTTCGTATTTTGTATATGAAATTTTTTGAGAGAAAATAAACAAGTATGAAAACTAATTTTTTTTATTAAGGATGTATATATATGCCTTCAATTTTTTCATTTCTAATACCGTAAATTATCAATTCATCCATGTTCCATTTAAATGCGAATAAGAGCATCTCTAGTCTATTAAAGTTAAAATACTAAGTTATGTGGGTCCTGACATGACACATGGTTGATTGTCATTGAGAGATATATTTTTACACAAAAGATATAAAAGATCCGTTGGAATTAAAATTAAATAATTAAATTTTTTTATTTAAATTCATTGTGACAAATCAAATTTACACAAAAAAAAAAAAATATATATATATATATATATATATACATACACACACAACGGTTTAGATAATTAATATCACCGTATCACCGGACTGGTCTAGAAAAAATTCCCTTTCACATAAGGAAAAATAAAAAATACAAAATATTTTGTTCATATAAGATCCGTGCACAATACGCACTCGGCTTATTTTAAAGCTTTCAAATACCCCAAGTTCAGCGCCACCGGCTTTCAGCTTTCGTCAAGAGTTGCACTTTCGTTTCCCCAAGCTATCGTCTATGTATTTCTCTCCTCAAAGATCAGAACTCTCTCTCTTCAATTTCCAAACTCCAAAATCACGAACCACATAAAACTTCATAAAACTTCATTTCCATTACTTTCTACTATTCAAGGATTAATTTAGATCTCTTATGGTTCTCAATTTACGATTGGTACTCTGTTGATGTATATAGATGATTGTTTGATTAATAGCCACTGTAATAAGGATGGGGCATAGCTCCAAGAAGAAGAAGCGCAGTGGAGGCGGACGGCGGAGCAAGGGCAGGGCTCCGTCAAAAGATCACACTTCTCACAGCGGCGATGGCGGCGAAGTTCTCTCCGAGGAGCTAACAGCATTGTAAATAATTCTTTAGTTCGTGTATAAGTATTGCATAGCCCATCTGTATATCATATATAATATATCGAAACCCAAATGCACAGTTCTTTGTATTTTAATCGAAAATCACAGAGAGGGTATTTCATGTGATGTTTAGGTGCGCAATATTTCAGGAAGATTGCAAAGTTATCTCAGAGTCACCTCCTCAAATTAATATCAAGATCAGGTATTGAATTTTCACGAGTAATTATTGAATTCATTCAATGGCCTTAATTAATTATCTATTCAACTGAGTTTTCTGTGAAAAAAAATGAACAGTCCATACTCAAAAGATACGGGTTATGAGGCTTCAGATGTTTCTGCTATTCTCTCAGTAAGGTTAGTGGGTGGTTGTTAGTTCTGCTGTCATTTTGTGTTTAGTATACTGTCAGCATGACTCTTTCAGATTGCTCACTCCTTCATCAGGTGTTTAACTGGGTATCCTTACAAATGCCCAAAGCTGCAAATAACTCCAGAGGAAGGTTTATCACAAGCTGATGCTGATAAACTTCTGTCGTTGCTTCGTGACCAGGTAGGGGTGACTACTACTTTCTTAATATTCTATCTTGATGAATTTGTGGTAATAGGAAATGCTTTATAATGATGCTGTATATTCCATCCTAAGCCCTAAAAGTTGCTACCTTTTTAATGCTTCTTCAACTTTAGGAGCAGCCAGTTTGTACAAATATGGACAATGGTTATGTTTGTATCTAAATAACCTCCCTGAATTCCTAGATCCTAAGCTCTAAAAGTCGCTTACTTCAATCCAACAATTTTGTTCCCAGCACACAGGTTCCGAATCCTGTTTTGTCAGTCTTCTTTCTTTAGGTATCAATTAGCCTTTTCCATACATGGAGGTTATGAGTATCTCAATCATCAGTCAAATTCAAAAACAATTATGAAAGAAAAAAAAAGGGTTATGAGAATCTCATAGCTTAGCCAATTATGCACTAAAGCTATGTTTGGGATTACTAAGTCGGCGTGTTGTAATTGGAATTGAAGGGAAAATTAGTTCTAAACATTTTCCTCCACTTCCAATTCTAAATGCTGATTTGGTTATTCCAAGCACAACATAACTAGAAATTGCTCTGATATGAAGGTGTGATTATCCAGAAATTTGCATATCGCTGATGACCATTTGTAAAATGCACCTTCAAAACAAATTGGACACCAAATGCTGTCTCTGAGGGAAACAAGTTTTTTTTTGTTTGTTTGTTTGTACTCAATCAGGTTGGGTAATATAATTTAAGAGAGAACAACCCACACTACTGGGAGCCCGGCTTCTCTAATTTCATCATTACCCAATATAAAATTATTAAGCCATTCAGGGAGGTCCATCGGTCGGTAGATTAAATTCCAAGCTTGTTCGCTTCTATAAGCAGGACCACAAAAAACTATACCTTGCCATGCTATGTAGGCCTGATAATATTAGTGTAATGACATCACATCAATCATCCCCTTTAAATTTGTTGTTTTAAACATTTCGAACATCAAATTATTTCATTTTCTTAAAAATAGTAGCTATTCAAAAAATACCTTTCCCGAAGACTGCAATCATTTGGAAGGTTACTTGATGCTTTTTCCCTTCCCACAGCTTATTCCCATTCTCTTTGAATTGTCAATATCACTAACCTAGTAAATATGTGTTTGATTCCTCAGTTGGTTTTATTTCCAGGGTTCTTTGTCTTTGTAATTTGCACTCACAAGTATTCTTTTAACTCTTCTCTCTTCGTTATCAAAAATAAATCTTTCTACATCTTCTCTGTTCTCTTAAGAATTGATGAAGGGACTTAAAACTGGGATAGGTAGCTATGGGGTACTTATCTAATGATTGACTATTATAAGCTAGCTTATCACTAACAATTTAAAGTCTTAGAGGCTCACCTTAGGCCTATTAAAGCGTTCGAGTGTGCAATATTGAAGCTTAGTAGTGAATGCATTATGCTGGGCATCACAAAAGACCATTTGTCATCGATGAATTGTCAATTTCCTGGTGGTTGATCGTACCTAAAAAATAAAATTAGAATTTTTATGGAGGTCTCATTCAACTAAGCCTTCCACCAGTTCCTCTCTCATGCACGCCAGTGATTAAATTAAAGTTTCAACATTGCTACAGGATGGTGTTGTACAGTAAGGGTTTCTTTGTTTTATTATGGACTATGCTCCACACGAAGATGTTGGACAGATTATGATATGCATTTCATATGCATGTAGAGTTTAATCCTTTTCATTTTTCTTTTTATTTTCTTATTCTTATTCATTTCTGAATGAGCTTTCTATTGATAACTGTTCCAGGCAAATTCTAATGCTCGAGAAGGACGTGTAATGATATACAATTTGGTTGAGGCTGCTCAGGAGTTCTTGTCTGAAGTTGTTCCACTGGAACAATCAAGTGATTCTCTAAGTTCTGCAGCTGATCAGGTTTTTTATTTTTCCGTCAAAATTTTATTTTATTTATTTATTTTTTTGATAAGTTTAATTTTCCGTCAATTTGTTGAGATATCAATTGATATATTTAATTTTGAGCTGCGTGGGGCCTTTGACAAATATTTCAAGTGAACTTTCTTATTCTTCTGTTTCATTTATTATTATTATTATTATTATTAAAAGAAATTTTCAGAACATCCATATGGGGGGTTATTTACTGATTCATTGAGATCTAGGGGTTGCAACTTGCTGTTAGACCCATTGTTTATGAGTCTGTGACTGCAATAGTACCATAAGTCCTCCCTGTGAGGTGGAGATGACGACTGTGAGAGCCTCATCATTATGAAATATCTTCACAGATTTAACATATAGCCAACCCCAAAAAGTTGGGATAAACTTTTCGATTTTTATATTACATGTCACAGTGTGAAATATTAAGTCGCACTGATACTTTTCCTCACCATATATTTTTAATTTAAATTTTCGTCTTTGATGTTGTACAATCTACTTCTTCACAATATTTTTCCCTCTTATTGTTGGTGGTCTCTATAACACAACTTTTCGTTACCAAAGTTTTATTCTTCTAGCTTTGGCTTCCCACTTTTCATACATGTTTGCCTTACACACAAGCACATAATTGTCTTAAGTGTAGTCTTTAGTTTGTTCCATGTTATCTTGTTTTAGATTCACATAAGACCACACCGGATGCATATATGCACGTGCACATGTGAGTATAAATTTAGGCTTATTATGTGTTATCATGTGTTGGATTCATTCAATGTATATTCTTCGGATATTTTTGTTTTGATAAGTTGTCCATCATTCAGAAAATTAACATTATTTTTTATAAAGAACTAGGTATTGAATCTATCTGCTAGTCACTGAGTTGATGATTCTGTATTTGTCATTGCTTCATAGAAGATTCAAAGGGCTTTGGCTCTTTTCACTGCCTTCTGTTTTAGATTGGTCAACATGCTAACTGTCTGGAAACTGAATTTATTTTTCCTGTTAAAGGATTGAGTATTTTAGATTCTGCTTGCTTTTGGATGATTTGTTGATTGTTTTATTTCTTTCTGGAAGGTTTCCTCCCAGGCAAGAGATAGGAGCAGTCAGTTCCAAAAGGATATAACAGTTTCAGGTGACAGAACTTGGTATTCTATGGGACCTTTTGTTTATGGTTTTGTGGATCTTTTCAGTGGCTCTGGGGAGTCATGGCATTGGGGTCTTGAGGTGGAGGATAATGGTGGGATGAACTTGTCATTACGTTCCAATAAATTGGATAATTCTAGACACGGATATGAGGTTCAAGAGAAGATAATGGACCAGAATGTGAAACCATTGGTATTTCAGGATACAAAGCAAGGTCCTCTACTAACACCTGTAAAACTAGATACTCTTGAGGAAGAGAGCGAAGATGAGAGTAAGAACTTATCTGCTACTGATTCAAGTAGATCGCTGTCAGGGGAATCAACAGTAAAGGTAATGTAGGAACTGCTTTTGTTTTTGATTGAAATTTGATTGCAAAAATATGCATGGATAAGTAAACTGGTCGTTCCTTTACTATTCAAGATATTATTTACTGAGAACGTTTTGTCCTTTTCCATCATATCATGATGCAGATATTATATTTGCGGTCACATATATAGTTCAGGGTCATAAATAGTCTCTAATTTTGAGTTCAAGTTACCTATATGTCCAAGCTGCTTTATGTAATTGTTTCATGTCAACAATGCTTATTTTCTATTCTTGGAAATACCCTTTTTCTTTAATCTTTTTACTGTTCGGCCCTCTCTGTGCTTCATGAAGTACATGAAGCAGTGTAATTAGGTATGGTGGTAATATACAAAGGAGTTTTTGGTTAGAGGACCGTAATCTAGATTTTACGAATACCTAACACCACCTCAGGAAGCTCGATGCCGGTAGCATACAAGGATAGAATTGGACGGATTGTTACCAATACACACACACACACACACACACTACAGATAAACTCTATACTTTAGAAGCAGCAGGACTATGGATATAACATCACAGGTGACAGAATCAACAGGGTTGGTGATTGCTGCATTCTGCAATGGAGATCACCTTTTGCCAATGAAAGCTTAATTGGAAACCCTTGCTGCATACATTAATTTCTGTATTTTTGAAGTAATGACCTAGAAAGAGTTTCTACTGATTGAATGGATTTGGTTATCAAAAGTTCACCCAGAAATTGTCCAAAATACCAGTCTGTACTCTTTAAGCATATTCTGAGTGTGGCCTGATTGCAGATTGTCCTGCTGAGAGAAGTTCTAGATCTCTTCTCATGGTAAATTGTGATTATGAGAGAGATTATTGCGCCGACACAATCGTCAATTTAGTACCATTCTTGACTGGTCTTTTCATCAGAGTTATTTATTGAGCTGGGGTCAAAATGATGTGAGTATCACAATTAAAGATACATGTTTCTTAATGACAAATGGAACTTAATATTTGGTTTGAATATTTACTGGGGAGATCAAATCAATCTTGGTAACTATATATAAATAAGAAACAAATACAGGAATTATAAGAAGTATGATTGGCATAAAAATCACAAAAAACTAAAATAAGGTTGGAGAAGTATAAATGATCTTCCGAATATTAGTATGGACATGTCAGTCCAAAAACCGAGGACCTAAGATTTCTCATTCTTCAATGACCACCTTCTGTAATTATGAAGGATAAAAGTACAAAATGGAAAAAGTAAAGAGGACCTTAGTCTAATATAGATGCATTGCAAGTAGTTGAACAAAAAAATAAACCAAAAAAAAATGGGAAGTAAATTGAAGGATGGGCAGCAAACCCCAAAAGTTTCAAAGAGATTCTGCTAATCTTCTGTCACAGATCATTGTAGACTTTTTGTTTGTTGGGCTTCTGGAATTGTTTATGATGTTTGCTATCATATGCTCCGACTTCTGGAATTGTTTATATTCTTTCTTATCACATTATGATTGAAATATTTCACAGGAATTTTTTGTGGGACGAGATCTAGCAGAAACTGATGTTGGTGATATAGATAGTGACCCTTCAGAATCAATGACTGCTGCGTCAATGATTGATGATCAGTTATCTCACACTGTGGAAAGAGATTTGATTCTGGTAATTTTCTCTGCCTCATTTGTTCTGTTCTTGTAGAATTTAATTGTAGACATGGGATTTGTTTTGCTTTCTAGGCTCATCTGCTTCGCCTTGCTTGCACTTCTAAGGAACAACTCGCGGATGCTTTGCCAGAAATAACATCAGAGCTTTACAATTTAGGGGTATGTAATTCATGAGTTTCTGCAAGTTAAAAGACTGTCCTTTTTTTTTTATTCTTTTTCTGCCTTTTGTTTCTCCAATTTGATCCTTTATGAACTTTTGTTGCTGAATGGTGATGTGGTTCAGATCATTCCAGAAAGTGTGCGGGATCTAGTTACCAAACCATCTCCACTATTTGACAAAACTTTTAATCATGTCTTTGGACAGCATATGGTCGGTCACTCTTTCCTATCTTTTATCATCCACTAGAATCTAACCTCCATTTAATTGACAGTCTATATTCCCCTAATTCTGTTAAATAGGTTTCATCTAAAATCTCTCAATTCTGGAAAACCGCTTCTGATTCCGGACGGCAGAATACTTCATCTATCCCCAGTTCTCGATATCTCAATGACTTTGAGGAGCTCCAACCCCTTGGTTAGAGAAATTCCTTTTGTGTTACTACAACTGTTTCACTTGTATTATATTTCTCAATAGAACTTTTATATGTTGAAATCAAGTAAACCATAATCTAGTTAGTTTCTCATAATCTATTTGCATGCTGCTATGGTATTCTGGGGGTGTAGACAAATAAGCACAAAGATTTGAGATCCTCATTTTGGACAGCCTCTAAAATTTCTGCTGACGTATTAAAATTTCCTTGAGCGTTTATGAAATTGAGTTTTTAAAGAGGAAAAAGAGATTTTTTTCTAGCACTAGGAAAAATACCTTGTGATTCTTGTAGTCTGCTAACCCAATTACAGTGTACCACAACCAATTACATTGATCTGTCAAAAAAAATATCATGATGCCCCTTCTCATTTAGGCATTTCCTTTTAAATTGTTTACTTTATTTGTTAGCTGAAAAGGAAAAATATATATTCTTGCCATGGTTGACAACATGGCTCTTCGATATTACAAATGAACTCCTTGTAGTAGTCTTAAACTTCTAAAGCTACTTAGCCTACTTGATTTTAAGCCTTCAAAACTTCAGGTAGTTTTTTAAACTTTTAACTCTCAATGGAGGCTGTTCAAATCTCTTTGGATTCCAGCGGAAAAAGAGCAAGCAAATTAAATTTAGGACTCGATATGTATCTTATGATTTTTCATAAACTTTACTTACCTACTCACCCTCCCTTTAAAAAAAAGAAGAAGGAATGTGTCATATGGTTTTTCATAATTAGTGGTATTTTAGTACTTCTACACATTTTGATGACTTGCTTTCCATGTTAGCGGGCTTTAGAAATGGATTTTATCTAGTCTTATTCGTCTGAGGGACTAGTTAACTTCCATTTGATGTATAGAAATTTCTTATTTGCTAGACTTTCCTATTTGAATTTTGTTTCTTGAGTTAGAGGCATTTAGTAATATGCCTCTGCGAGAATGTTTGCATATCCTTAACTTCTATTGGTGATGATAATCCGATTTATTTTTTCTCAGTGAACTTGCAAGTAGTAAAATTCCATTCATTTCTTTCCTTCTCTTTCTATCTCCTTAGAAGTCTCCATACTACTTAGGGATGTGTGTGTTATTTCCTTTTCAGTGTAAGATGGCTTCCTATTTGGGGGTGCAACATTCTGTTTTGCTGGTAAAACTTAGTGGGCTCTTACTTTCTTTTTTAGTTTTTATGTGCATGTGTGTGTTAATGCTCAAGTTTTTGATACATGCTGACAGGTCATGGTGGATTTGGTCACGTAGTACTGTGCAAGAATAAGTTAGATGGAAGGCATTATGCTGTGAAGAAGATTCGTTTGAAGGACAAAAGTCCACCTGACCGAATATTGAGGTAGTAAGTCTGCTTGGTGTAGAACATTATTATCGTATGTTAGATTTTTAAGCTCTAATTCTATTAACATATTTCTTTTTTGGTTTTGATGGTCATTTATTGTTTTATTAATAAATTGCTTATCCAGTAGTATTTTGCAGAAATAATTGCAAAATCCAAATTTATTGAAAGGCATTATGCTGATGTGGCCCAAACCATTCAAGTCCCAACTTTATTTTCTAATTACAACTTGATTTAAGGGAGTAGGCTATGGCTTAAAGTTGGTTTCAAGTTGTAATTAAATGGTTGGATCAAAAGCTTTACAAGAAAGCTGGAAAATTAGTGATCTCTGGTAATTGATAAATCATCTCAGTTGGATCTGATGTCTTTTATTTGACGCCTTGCCTTTTTCTTGTTTCACATTAATCCTGAAGTGGTGGGGTCAAGTTTGGTCCATAACTTGTTGGGTCAAAATGTATCGAACCTGAACGTTGACCATGTATATAATATGGGTTTGATGTGTATTTGGAAAAATCGTTCTAATAAATCCCCTTTAACCTGGATCCAACCTATTCATCATCATCCTTGCCTTAATTCCACATGCATGGAGTCGGCCACATGAATTCTCTCTCCAATTTTTTCTATTACATGCCGTTTCACTTACTATATTTAACTTGTTAAAGTCATTTTAATAACCTCATCCCAATCCTGGATCCAACTTAGCAATACTGGATATTTTTCAGTCTCTATGCTGGCATTTTCTTGTATTTGGCTAAAAATTGAAGCAAAATGTCAAAAAAGCCATTGAACCTGTTTTTTACACACTTAATTTAAAATGATAATAAAATAAATTATAAAAAAACTTTGCTTTGCAAATGGAAAGATATGTGGTTTTGGCACTTCGTTTTTTGTAATTTTCTATTTCACTTAATATTTTTAATAACTGGAATGACACAAATGCCCCTTAAAAATGGACTGCAAAAGTGCTTTTTAGGATAACTGTGGAGTATGAGAGTGTTTTTGAAGGACATCTGTGTCTTTTAAAAAAAAAATGGAAGTGTAGTGTTAAAGTACCAAAATGGGAGTGCAGACGTCATTTCCTAATTGAAAAAAATGGCCTTCAAGCTTTGATGTATGAGTTATTGTTCATATTGGATTTTCTTTGTCAGTTTAGTGTTTGTTGATTCCCTCTCGATTTTTCCTGCTTCTCCCTTTCGGTTTACTTGGATATTGAAATTTAATATTTTAAATTAAATTTCTTGTTTCTTATCAGTCATAAGTTTTGTAAAGAAATAAAATTTATTGATAAGTTCTAGCAAATATTGTCGTGGTTACTTTCCTTAGTTTCTAGGTTGCAGTTTTACATCTCATTGTGTGCATGCATAAGATTTGTCCTTTTTGTATAACAATAGTTGTACAGACTAGCTTTGCAACTCATACATAGTGCGAATGGTCCAGTTATTGATACTTTATTATAATAATCTGCAGAAAAAGACTGTCGCTCATAATTTTATTTTTAACATGGAAACTTGTGTTTCAACTATTCTAGGATTTCGTAAGATTTTAATTTTAACATTTAGATGGTTAAAATTTAATTTGAAAATCAAGAATGCCTTTCTAAAAGGTTTTTCATCTTGTGATCTGTCATGTCAGTATTATAGATTGTTCATATTGGTAGTTTGCTTTTCTGTTATGGACTTCAATTTGAATTTTAATGCTGAAGAATGGTTCTTAATCATTGGATTGGGGGCAAAATGCTCTTGTTTATTGGATTATGTCCTATCTCTTGATGGGTTTCAGTTCCCTATATGAGATTGTATATTTGGTAAGTGTGATACTGATGAATTGTCTCCATAGGAAGAGGTTTTTGTTGCAAAATATGTTTTCACAATGATATTATTAGCCATATAATTTTTTATTTATTATCTCAACCTTTTCAGTAAATCTTTATTATTATTATATTTCATGTTGAATAGGACTACTTTGGGAAAGAAGTCATGATTGGGAAACTATTCCTGGCTGGCATGTGTCTTCCACTGTTTGCTTACTTGGTTCTTGGTGATGCTAGCCAAAGGTCTCCTCAATGGCCAGCAGGAGGACTCGGTTGGAGCCTTCCTCCTTGTCAGATGTATCTATAAAAACACCTTCCTCCTCTTTCTTCAGAGAATATGGATGACAAGCTCTCTCAAGGTCCATTTGCTCCAATGACACCATGGGATCCTTTGACTCCCATCCATTATGTTATTCCTTGGAAGCCATTAACTGTAGAAGCGGATGTTGATAATTTGGATGTGTTTCACATGATTCTTTTACAATATACTAAGTTGGACGGGAGGTCATCTTTGGTTATCCTAGGGGTTTGACTTTTTATGGCTGGTCAAAAGTAACCACTTATACAACATGAAGGAGCTAGACGGGGAGAAAATAGGTGGCACTCATTACCCATGTGTGGAAAATCCAACTGACCCAACTGGGCCTTGATGCTTATAAGGGTGCAAAGGAGAAGCTTCCTAACTGGATATTTTGCGTTGACTACTAACTTTTAAGAGACAATTTAGCTGCTTAAAACTGAACTTATTTTTTATTGTTACACTTTCTTTTGTTAGCTCCATGCATCCCGTCTATATTAGAGTTTTGAAGATTGACGCTCTCATTAGTTTTTACTTTCTTAAATTTTGAGACATTTTATAGTAAATTGGGTCACCATCAGCATTTGTTCTGTACATGGCATATTTATTTTTTATTATTATTATTTGGATTCACAAAGTGTGCTCATCATTATTCTTTTATTGTTCTTATTATTGGTTATCATCTTTTACATTCGTTAACGCATCCAATATTACGTGGTTCGTAGGGAAGTAGCCACACTTTCACGGTTGCAGCACCAACATGTTGTGCGTTACTATCAGGTATGAGCTTTAAAAATTGTTTTGTCTTTCCATTACATTTTCTACAGTCTATCAAATCTCCTTTACTTTGCTTTGTGATCATCATAATAGTTTACCTTGCTGTATGTCCATGGAGAATATGAACTGTTGTTGCAATTCCTAATTGCTTTAAGTTGTATCTCATTTGACATAAAGTTTAACTTTTGGCAAAAATCTACTCTGGAAAATTATTATTTGAAATTTTAGAAAATTCGACTAATCATGATGTTTGGGCTAAATTGCTCTAATTTTTTATTCTCAAAAATAATTTCAGGCATGGTTTGAAGCAGGAGTTGCTGGTTGCTATGGTGATACCACATGGGGATCGTGGACTGCAGCAAGTTCCAATTTCAGTTACAAGGGTGCAAGTTCTGCAGATATTACTGGCCAAGAGAATAAGATTGAATCAACTTATCTGTACATTCAAATGGAATATTGCCCAAGGTAAAACTTCCATTTCCTTTCCTTAAGTAACTCACTTTTTAAATTCTCTTATCATATTTTATAAGGTAACTGTTCATATTATTATATTATTCTCCCCAAATTTATTTCAGTAATTTTTTAATTACATAGTTATCTCTCTCTTAGCATTTAATTTTATTGTTACTGATTAATATTTTGACTCGTGATTTTGAAGGACTCTTCGGCAGATGTTTGATTCATACAGTCATTTTGACAAGGAATTAGCCTGGCATTTGTTTCGCCAAATTGTAGAAGGCTTGGTACACATACATGGACAGGGAATCATCCATCGTGACTTGACCCCTAATAACATCTTCTTTGGTGCTCGGAATGATATCAAGATTGGAGATTTTGGTCTTGGTATGATGCAATCTTTTTAATTTGATAAAGACAACACTACAATATCCCCACCATCCAAATCAGGCAACCGCCACATAGAAACTACATTATTACCGACCATAACTGCCACATGGAACTATTTTGTCACCCGTCTATCAAATCCATCACCAATCTGAAATCCGTACCAGATTCTCTACAGGACCTCTAATGAAATGCACCAACCACCATCTAATCACTTGACCTACCACCACTTTCAGGAAAAAGAGAGGGGGTTTTCCCACTGATATTTATTTTGAAAAGAAATTTATGAGCCTGACTACAAATACAGGATAGTTGGTGAACTGACACATTTGAAAGTGACTTTGTTGAGACAAATCGCTGTTGATGTGTGTCTATTTACATGATCTAAATTGATCAACCTCTCTTAAAAATGTATTCTGAGGTACTCTGTGTTCAATAAATTGCAATTACCTTACTACATAAATCTTATAAATTCATACTCCGATCTTAATTTCCTACATTATAAAATATATTTCGGTAACTGCTGGAGAATTTTATGGATAATTAGAGCCATCTACGAGTCCAACACAGACACATCCTATTTCTCTTAGAAATTCTCAGTTTCTGAATTGAAGTTTCTAATTTAATGTGTAATTATTTATTAGATTCTTTCAAGAAATAACTCTTTTTTTCAAAAAAAATATTTTGTGTTTCTTTTGCACTCAGTGACTGCATATTCAAATGTTGAAATGGGTGTGTGGCAAGATAAATAAAGGATAGATTTAGAGATGAATACATTGGTTTGATGGTTGAAATGGCATCTGTTTGGAGATAAAGTGAAAGAAAATCGATTGAGATGGCTTGGAAATGTGCAAAAGAGACCATTAGTTGCACCAATTAGGAAGAGTGGCACTAGCATGCTCCGCATTTGGGTAACTCTAGGGGAATGGGTCGACCAAAATTAGAGCATTCGGGTGGTGCACGTTTATGCATATTAGATGAGGCTGAATAAGCAAGACATATAAAAGGCATACAAAGTATCAGACTTATGTGTGCTTATTTTCTCTCCTCTGTTATGTTTCAGCCAAGTTCTTGAAGCTTGAGCAACTGGACCAGGATCCTGATCCTGCAGAAGCTGCTGGAGTTTCAGTTGATGGTACTGGCCAAGTTGGTACATATTTTTATACTGCACCAGAAATTGAGCAAGGGTGGCCAAAAATCGATGAAAAGGTAAATTGATATATCCTTCTTTTGGCTGTCCTTACTCCAGCCAGTATGGCTTCTACCTGATCTGCTTCATTGTTGCATCATCTTGGATGACAGGCTGACATGTACAGCTTGGGAGTTGTGTTCTTTGAGCTATGGCATCCCTTCAGTACCCAAATGGAGAGACACATAGTTCTTTCTGAACTTAAACAAAAGCGAGAACTTCCTTCTGATTGGGTTAAGGAATTTTCAGAACAGGCATCCTTACTACAGCGCTTGATGTCCCAAAGTCCATCTGATCGTCCATCGGCCACAGAACTTCTCCAACATGCTTTTCCTCCACGGATGGAATATGAAATGTTAGATAGTAAGTAATAAGATGTATCTTTGTTTGTATTTTATGTATCAGTATGTTCTTCTATACTAGGAGAACCCAGAAGTTCATTTGTGGCTTTAAAGAAATTTTCCAACAAATATGTTATTTATGGATTGTGTCAAGCAATTAAAAAATTAGCTGTGAAGCCTTTGATGCTTATAGGAACCTAGGTGGGAGTCTAGCAGTCTTTTCTACTTCTTCTCTATACTTTTGCTGTTCATTTGGCTTTATAACCCCTTGCCAAACTTTTACAGCCCCTTTTTCTATATTCAAAATCTTATATGACTAAGTTAATCCTTTCATCTTTCAAGAGTTCTATCTTAACAGCCTAATGCCTAAAAATGAAATAAATCTGCCCTTATTACTGCTCATGGAACTATTCAAAGCCCAGAGTGCCCGTGCCCGAAAGTCTGTTCGTCTACGCCTCAATCCTGCCCTTTGTTACTGCTCACAGGCACTGTTGACAGCCTTAGAAGAGTCCAATTTTTTTTTCCTCCCATGCCTACTTGTACCTCAAACGTTCACCCCTTCTTTGATTTTGTGAACCTCGAAACTCCATATTTCACTGATGTTTTACCATATAAAAAGCTTTCTTAATGCTGTCATATGTCAATCCTTTGATTATAGTAGAGAATGATTTCTTTCCAATTAACCACATCATATTCCTAATCTCTCATGTAAAGTTTCTCAATAGTTGTTTCAAAAGGAAAAGAAAAAAAAAAAGCTGAAGAAAAGCACTGCTAAAGTTCGAGAATTTAGTGCCACAAATGATCAAAAATTGGAACCAGTGCCACTGCTGGAATCATTATTGAACCTGCATTAACCTTTATGTTTCATATGTCAGCTAGGTTTTTGAAACAACTTAGTGTACACTGTGTCATGTACTTGAAATATATTTGCAATTGAAACAATTATAAACAATGTTGTTGGGCATGTAATTTTGAAAATGTTGACGATGTATGCTCCACGTCTTTATCCATCAATAGATAGTTCATAGTTCACATCCTGCAACATCTTTTAGAATATATTTTTATCCTTTTTGACATTTGATATATTTTCTTGCCAAATTTCCTGTATGTTTTTATTCAAGGAGTTCCTATATTTTTGCAAGAATCTATTATTACAACATATTGTTTATAATCATTACAAGATGAAGATGATGCTGTTGTGATGTTATTTTGTATCTTTCATTTCTTATAGTTATCATGGTTGATATGTAGCTAATCATCTGTGCCTTTGTGTGAATATTATGTCCACCTAATATGCTAATTAAAATAGAATTGAAAAGTCTCATGGGGCATTAATTTCTATTCTCGCTTATTGTTCCCTTGGCCTTCTTTTTGGTGATTTTTTTTGGCATATTTTTAAATTCAGCCTGTCCGTGGTGGGTGGCTAAAATCTTTGCTGTGTTATATTTGTTTTCTAATTCGTGCAACCTGAGATCTATTGTGTTTTCTATTTTTAAAGTTAAGTATGGAGATATGCAATGCTTAAACAACACATACTTATTTGACACATACATACTTGTCTTTATATTGTGTTGCCGTATAATATATGAGATATAGTTGTTCATTGTGATAATTTATTTAGAAAGAAATTGCAGCCTACTTCTGTAACTAAGTGTGGCAAGCACAGATGTTTTTTTCCCCTTTAAGTCGATTACCTCAAACTTAATTGATGCTCAATCTTATGTTTCAAAGTAAGGTTCTGCCCTATTGAGGCTCAAATCTTAAAGCAGAGTTAATTTTAGCCAACAGTTATATACAGTTAGTCCTTCAACTTGTTATGCCTTTGCCTCGCTACTAATGGTTAGACAGAAAGAAAGTGGAGGTGCGGGTAGCCCTCACTGCCTCCTTTTAGTCGATTGTTTGTTATAGTGGGTTTAAACTTGAAATTATCATTTCATGTTGTTTGTCCTTAAGGGCGTGTCTCGTCTGAATGCCTTGTGATCTATCTAGTTCATATTCAGTTTTCTTGCAAAATTGATCCAAGAATATTTGTTGTATCAATTTAGGTGCCTTTCCTCTGTGAGAAATGGTGCAAGTTGTGCAATCCTCAATTCTGTATACTGATGTTAACTTCGTTGATTTGGTTCATTTTTGAGCTTATGGCTTCCCTTTAGTGAAGAGTAGCGGTGAAAAGATGTCTTGTATTCCATTTCTCGCTCATTTTCACATGGCTAGGAACCAGTGTAGGCATGCATTTTCCACTTTTAGTTAGAATCCTCCTTAGGCCTAGATAATCAAAATCTTGATTGTAACTACTGATTCCCTTGTTTTTTATGATTCTTCAATTTCATTTGTCACAAGTGCAATTGTTTGCAATATTCATTATTTAACCTTCTCTTTTCTGTCATTTTCAGGGTCTAGTTATTTCTTTATTTGTTCTCTTGTTCTTTTGGCCTTTTGGTTATATGTATGTTCAGGTTCAGTCTAAATGATTTATTTGAAATTTTGACGGTGGATCTGATACATGTGGGTGTTTAGTTTGATGTATGGAACTGAAGATTCTGTGTGAGGTTATAAGGTACGGCTAGTTGTTCAGAGTCCACTTCAATTGATATGGCCTTGGCTAACAGCCGGGATGGCTTTGAATCTTTCGTTCTCTGGTAATTTGGGGTTCAACAGACAAATTTTTTCTTCTTCGTAGTCAGATAGGCCTGTTAAATTTTGGAGGGGAAAATCATTAAGATAACCTTATCCCATTAAATAGTACAGAGCCTAATGTGGGATATTCAAAACCTTCTCTTTTTGCTTGCCTATCCAAATTTGTGTGGCTGTGAAATTATTTGTTTGACTGAGATTAGCTAGTGTTAAGTTCACTGTTCTAGAAGCTGGACTTTGACTTCTTGATCTAGACCATTGATTAGTTAGCTTGAGCAAACTGTTACTCATATATGTGCAGGTATACTACGAACAATGCATACTTCAGAAGACACCAGTATTTATGATAAAGTTGTGAATGCTATCTTTGATGAGGAGTTATCAAGCACCAAAGACCACCATGAGCATGTTGAAAGATTGAGGTTGCTCAGAAACGATACTTCGTCTATCCAGTACACAGATTCAGAGACTGAAGCCCGTGATCTGGTTGTGGAGTTCACAACAGAAGTGTTCAGACAACATTGTGCAAAGCGTTTGGAAATAATACCCTTGCGACTGCTGGGTAATTGTCCAGAGCTCAATAGGTTTTGCTCCTAATCAAACTTCTTCTTGTCATTTTTTGAGTAGATTTAATACCCAAAATGTTTCTTGATACGTGCTTGAGCTGGCCGCTTTGGTTTATTGTGTGAAGGAATACCGTTAAACTTTTGACCCGCAGTGGAGACAAGATTGAGCTTTGCCGTGAGCTGCGCTCTCCCTTTGTTAATTGGGTTATTGCAAACCAGGTATTTAACATTAATTTTTTTTTATCCCATTATCGATCAAATTTATGACATTATCTAGCCAATTTTCTTAGCCTGTATCTTGCTTCTTCTGATGAAAAAATTGATTTTCTTTTTAAAATTTATTTGAGCCACACTTCTTATATTGTGGCTTGCCATTTTTCTTTTGTTGTTTTTCCTTTGGCTAGTTGCCATGCCTATGCTATGTATTTTTGGGTGTTGGGAGCCCAAGTTTTTTTCTTATATATTGTTTCTTTCTCACTAAAAGTCCTGCTATTTCACCGCCTGTTGGAATTTGTTTCCTTTTTTTTGTTGGGTGGCAAAATTTACCTTAACCTAAAGTGTGTATAATTAGATTCCTTCTGAGTTTTTGATATCAAAATCTTAACTGCCTGCTATCTTCGATCGATCTTCATCAAACTCAGGCAATCCTCAACCAACAGTATCTTGATATTCTCCCGAAGTGAAACTCACACAATCACGGATCATAGTAAAGAAATTACAACTCGATCAAACTTTTGGTTTTTGACACAATTTGCCAACTAAAATACACTAAATCCAAACACCTATGAGTGATCAATCTTGCAAGGACCATCTTTCTGCTAATAAGTCTTGCCATGAGCAGCTCCTCTCTATAGATAAACATAACATGATTCAAACTAGGGCTGCGAATGAACCGAGCCGAGCTTTAGTATCTAGGGCTTGGCTTGTTTGTTTGTGGGTTCAACTCGGGATCGTGACCAGATATAAAAGCTGAGTTCAAGCTCGGCTCGTCATTTTTTTTGAAAAGTTCGGGCTCGGTTGTTTAATAAAAAAAGGCCAACGTTGATATCATGTTCAGGCTCAGTTTGAGCTCTATTTAAGATCGCTTTGACTCATTCAGGAAGCTTATGTTCATAAACATATGCTCATAGTCTACGTTTGTGAAGCTATATAAGCCTACACAAGCCTATGTTCGTGAACACATATGAGCCTACACTAGCCTAGTGTTCATGAGTCTACCTGAGTTAAGCTTAACAATGTTCGGGGTCGGCTTGTTTACTAAATGAGCTCAAAAACCGACCCTCGAGCTTGCCTTGTTTACTTAATAAACAAGTTTGAGTGATGCTTTAAATGAGCCAATTTTGAGGTGATTCTGATTATGACTTGCTGAGAGAAGGCGGCCTCTCTCGGGAAACATGGCCCAATTTCTCTGATTTCGGGTTTCTTTCTTTTTTTCCGGGGCCCAGAACGCTTGAAAGGGGAAAGGGGGGGGGGGGGGGGGGGGGGGGTGTTAGAGACAGTATTGTATGGAGCTTGAGAGACCATGTGGTAACTTTTGACAGCTGCAAGGGAACTATCTTTACCTGGCATTTGACATAAAACACCTACCAAGCCAATCACAATTAGGATACCTCATTTCTGGAAAATACTTCACGTTCACTCTCATTACACAATTGTCACTCTTTCAGAAATTAACTCAAACTTGAGGGATAATACATCTTTATTACCGCCCCACTCTTTTCCTTGAAGTTTTCTTGCGGAAGTTTCCGCCCAAGTTAGTTTACCTTGGACACATCATATTGCAAGTAGCTCTTCCTTCATACACATCCACACTACGAACCCACAATGGGCTGTTGCAGCTCCAAGACGTTTGGAATTAACTCAACAATTGAGTTGAAGTGTATTTTTCACTAAATGTATGTAGTTCCAGTTTGGTAGAGGCGTGCATTTTCATTCTTTGTTATACATTGCAACTTTTTATTATATTTCTGCAATCAATATTTCATTTCTAATCATGCATGTATTTCCCTTGCAAAGAAAAATTATCAGTTTTCAGCACATTGAGTTTTTACTACAAGAGTATTTTTCATTCACTTAACTAAGAGAGATTTCTTCTATTTATTATTGCATTAAAAAATCAAGTATAGTTCCTAGGTTGCCCTCTTTTATAGGCTTTTTTTTTTTTTCAAAATTATGGGCATTCAGTGGAGCTGCTTCTGTATTTATATCTTGATATCCCAGCCCTGTTAGTGATTCTAAACATATTAAGTAGTGTTAGGATTTATTGGAGTTTTCATACTTATCAAAATTTACTCATTATGGGCAGAAATCATCCTTCAAACGGTTTGAAATATCATACGTTTATCGGAAAGCAATTGGTCATTCACCACCAAATCGTTACCTTCAGGTTTACATCTCATGTTACTTTTTAATATTCTGTTCCTTGATCTCTCAACTGAGTCAATGGTTTCTTCTTCTTCTTTTTTTGATAAGTAAAGATTGAATAAAAAGACAATTGTTTTTTGTAAGCTTGATAGACACTCTTGATGTGTATAGAAGGCCTCTTAACAATATAATTCTTGTCTATAGGGAGATTTTGATATTATTGGAGGTGCACCAGCACTGACAGAGGCAGAGGTCATCAAGGTATTCTTTTTATTTTTATTTTTTTTATCTGCATCTTTACTCTCCCTCTCTCTTGGACCCTTGGTAGATGCGTACACAATTATTAGTTAGACTTCTGGTTTTATAAAATACTTTGCCAAAGGCTGCATCATACTATATGTTTGGTCACATTTTGTTTGCAATTCTATCTGCAAGAACTTTTGATAATAAAATACGCACTGTTACTTTGGTTTTTTGATGGATGTTGGATGGAATCACATGACGTCTAGTGTTTTATGGATGTTAGGTAGTGCAGTTGGTATTACCATGTCCTCTCTTGGATGGTTGATTACTCTTTGTGTAATCATTAGCCAGGTTTCTTGATTTGATGAACTCTATAATAATAGGTGTTGTTAACATCAATTAGTTTTCTGAATTTTAAAGATCTACTTCTCAAGCTTAGATGCTCATCAGACTGCATCTATATTTCTTTCATTTGTTTCTATACTTGTTATTTCTTTGCTAATATTTTTATTTTGATATAATTATTTTGGAATTTATTGGTGTTGTTTAGAGTAATTACGTGATCGAGTCAAGCTTACTCCAATGTGTTGTTTTTGCTACTTGCATGGCATTTTCTTCTTAACATTGCCCCAGATCCTACTTTTGTAGTGCTGAGACTAAGCCTGACAAAGTTTATCACCCTCATCATGTGGATGCATTTCCTGCCAGTATCCACATGGCTGGAAAGATTTGCTCTGGTCAGGATTATATGAACTTAAAGAACAAGAAGAATGTCTTGAGACTTGAGATGAGATTACAGCCTTTTAGGGAACTTCTAGGAAAAACAGGAAAATCTTGTTGAGCTTGGGTTTGTAGTAAACTTACATAGGAACGAGGGTTCTACGTTGAGTGAGAAGTGGACACTGGCCTAGATCCAGCTGTTGAAGGATCAGTTTTACAGTTTGAGGCCAATTATGGCACCTAAAGTAAGCAGAGGAAGGGTGGTGCTCTATCAATAGGGAATAGGTGTTCCTTCAGATTATGTACCTTAATGTTTGTTGGTACTGGATACCACTTTGTGACACGGGTTAGCTGGTTGAAGAACTGCCTTTTGAGATTGTGCTGTTGCCTGAAGGATATTGTGAAGGACCAGTTAATCTTCATAATCTTATTTTGGGAGCAATATGAATAAAAGGCATTTTAGAATCATCAATGGGGTTTGGTATTTTTGAGTCGGTGGAGGTGTGAAGATTTTGTAGAATATTTTTCTTGAGTTGATGTATAGCAGGTTATTGGATTGGGAAAAAGGCTTGGTGGTAGTTGTAGTTTTATATTTGGAGTTAGAAAGTTTCATAAAGCTTTATGCAAAAATCCCAGCTAGATTTCCCTTTGGAAGTTGTTTGTATAATTTTAATTCAAATAACAATTTGTAGTATTTTATTTAAATTGTGTTGTATATGCTAACTACCATGTCTTTGTTGGCAGTGGTGCCAATATAATCAAGCTATATTTTTTGCCTTGTTCTCGTGGAAATGGAATGCCTATTCACTCATTTGAGCAAATGGATGGCTAATCCCACATTTGAGAAAATAGCCATTGGGTGCTTGGAGAAGGCCATTCCAAACTTTGTTTCCACATCAATCATGGAAATTGAATGATTTCAAGGATGGTCGTTTTGTCCCAAAATCCTATTTTGCAAACAATAGTATTCCTCCTTGGTTATATTGCAGTACTACGAAACATTTCTCAGCAAATGTGGAAGTAACGGCAGCTGGCAGCCCGACCGTCTGTGATTACTCTTCTGATAAGAGAGTCATTACCTAGTGTGATCCCCATTAATCTAGGATGCTAGGAGGAGTGGACTGGATACAGACCTAACCTCATCATTTGCACAAAGTGACTGCGCTCAAAATTTGGACCTGCGTTCTTACATTTGAGAGCCCGGGCAGTTTACTAGTGAAGTTTACTATTCTTACATATATATAGATATATTCCTATATAATGATACTTGGTTGACAACTGCACTCATTCTAGTTGCAACAAAAGTAATAAAAGATGGTGGTGAGAAGACATTGTGTAATTTATTGTCCCTTCAGTCTCATCTTTTGGCGCAATATGTATGTTTGATCTTGTCAATTATTTGTGCACAATAAATTTTCTGACTGCATAACTAAGGTGAACATATATATTGCAGTAGTGAGTCGAACTCATCTGTTGCTCCATTTGCAGGCTGCAACGGACGTTGTGACTCACTTTTTTCATTCAGAATCATGTGATATTCATCTAAATCATGGGGACCTATTGGAAGCAATTTGGTCATGGATAGGAATCAAGGCAGATCACAGACAGAAAGTCGCAGAGGTGTAGTTACTAATTAACATTTCAAAAGATGCTTAATATTTAGTTTGTGAACTGTGACCTTACAAATGCTTCTATTTTAAAAATGAAGCTTCTCTCTCTTTTGGGCTCTTTGCGTCCTCAATCCCCCGAAAGAAAATCAAAGTGGGTGGTAATAAGACGACAACTTCGACAGGTTTGAAAAAAATTATTAAACTAGCAGACATTTTATAAAGCATTACAAGTATTATTTGGTGGCACATTAACATCTGCAGTTCTAACTCTTTTCCATTCTTGGTGTTGTATTTATATTGAATCTTGATCAATTATAGCATGTGTTCCTATTAATCCCCATAAGAAGTGCAACACCCAATATTTTGTAAGGAGATCACATTGATTGAACAAAATCTATGATCCATCAAAAATATAACTAACAACAATACTACAACACTGTTTAATCCTCTCAAAATATATCAAGAAGAAGAACCATTTGTGTGTTTTAACCTTGGGGCTTCATTGTTTGCAGAAATTGAATTATGTACATGATTGTCTGCACATTTATGTGTGTTATAATATCAGAGAAATAACTTGTGCAGCTGGAGTTATGTCATTTTTTGTTCCTGGTTTAGTTGGAAAAATTTATAGATACGAACCATATAGTACACAAATCCTCAAGGGCATATCCTTGGCAAAACAAGAGCCATAGCCAAAAGCATACAGACTATAAAAAAAGAGAACCCTAACAAAGCAAAAATCATAAGCGTGAGGCTCACACACAATGATAAAAGCACTAGATATGTTTTTTTATCTTGCAGGTAATATGTTTCTGGTTGCTGATGTTCCAAGATTGTTTTGTGCCACTGATTATTTAGCACAATTAGTTATATGTTGTATATTTTTGTAACTCTTAGGAGAAAGACGTCTTTTGTTACCAACAGGCCAGTGGCTTAGCGGTACCAGACCCTTACTTCCCAAAGGGAGGTCAGGGGTTCAAGCCTCAGTGGAGGCATGTGTGTGTTGAGTGTTGTTGTTTTATTGTGATTCAAGTTGAACTATTTTGTCCCTTTGAATTATATTCCAGGAACTTAATCTTCCGGAAGCTGCTGTAAATAGGTTGCAGACTGTAGGACTAAGGTTTTGCGGAGTTGCAGATCAAGCCCTTCCTAGACTGAGAGGTGCACTTCCTGCTGGTATGTCGCAATATATAATTTATTTTGGATCATTCATGGGATTCATGTGAAGGAAATATATCTTATCTGGTAGATTCGGGATAATGCAGATAAACCTACACGCAAGGCACTTGATGAATTGTCAGAGCTCTTTAGCTATTTAAGAATTTGGAGAATTGATAAACATGTCTTCATAGATGCCCTTATGCCACCAACTGAGCATTATCACAGGGGTTTGTTTTTTCAGGTATCTGAACTTGTTTGTCTTTCTATTTTTATGGTACATCACATGAATCAATCTGATTCCTCTCACTTTGATATTAATACAGATGTCAGTAGGATGGTGAATGCTTGAATTCATCACTTAAAGCCTTCTCATCACTATTATATAGTAAAGCCATCCTAGGATGAAGCAGTATTTTGAATTCAATTCTACATGATGACAGAGTCATTCATGAGCAATCGTTAAGAACGAGAAGGAATTTGTCTATCAAGACTGCATAGTTTGGATAAGATTCCACACCGTGTAAATATATTATCTTATGAGCAAGTATTGGCGTAATGGTAAAGTTAGTTCCATTGTGACCTAGAGGTCACGAATTTGAGACAAGGAAACAACCTCTCTACATGTGGAGGAAAGGCTGCATACATCTTGCCCTCCCCAAACCCTGTAATGGCTGGAGCCTCGTGCACTTGGCTAGCCGCATTTTAATTTTAAATGTTTTCTAGATAGCTAGTTTGGGCCCTCCAAGCAAAAAATCTGGATTCGGGCCTGATGGAGATTTTTTATTGGCACTGGTGCGTAGGTTCTATTTGCGAAGTAGAAACTAAAATTGTTATTACACGCACTAGTTTGAAGGTTCTATTTGCGAAGTAGAAACTAAAAGAGGCAGCATGCTTGTGGTGATATATTATTGAAGATCAACTTTATGAGGCCGGCCAACCTTGTATAAACATGTGGACTAAAGATGAAGTCATTTGTAACTAGATATTCAAAAAATTAACATCTAATTTTAGTAAATTCTGAGAAAAAGGAAAACAAAAAAACAAAAAAGTATACAGAGAAAGATCAAGACTTGTTTTGCCAAGGAAAAGGAACAGTAAATGCATGGCTATTGTACTTGGGATAAAAAAAAAACTTTTTCATTGTAAAACCTTTTGTCCTGGGAGAGAAAGAAGTTACTCCTCTACCAAGAAAAGTGCCTGTGTGTAGGTCCTGTGGATTAGTCGGGGCAAAGCCCCGGACACCCGAGTTATCGGAAGAAAAGTGCCTGTGTGTTCTCGAGAAACTATTACAATGAGATTCTTTTTTCTCTAATAGATTGTTTATTGAGTTAAGAGGATGGTGTGCAGGTAGAGGTTTGTCCTTTATATGGAGGAAGCAGGTAGGAGCATATTCAAGAGTTTATATCCAAATACGAATTTCTATTACATGTTGCAACAACCTGTATCTGTGGTATTCATTGGGCATATTACATATTTGTAAACCAGGAATAATTTCTCATTTTATATCTCTATATCACATCAGTAGGTTTTTTTTTTTTTTTTTATCTTTTTCTTTTTTCCTTCTTTCTTTAGAGAAGTTCCCAGAAGGAATATCCCTTCAAAAGTAGGCGTATGCCGCATAAAGTGGCAAGCACACAGTATTCTTTGGTAATAGGCGAAAGAATAGTTGGCTTTGTGCTCACCACACGGTTCCGTATCATATTAATAAGTGCTTACGATATAGAATCAGAACTAAAATTGGTTTATGATCAAGTTGTCGTTCTCTTGACACAGATATATTTAAGGAAGGAGAATAATCCCGGTTCACTTATGGAAGGATCATTGCTTGCTGTTGGAGGTCGCTATGACTATCTGCTTAATCATATATGGGATTGTGAGTATGTAAGTTACACTTCTGTAACTCAGTTTACTGTTTTTAATATATCCTATGTGTACATCATATAAAGGCACAATCATCAGGCATGTGTAATTGCGAAATCTGGATTTTGAATATTATTGCCATGGTGGGTGTTCAAATTCATGAGAGAGAGAGAGAGAGAGAGAGAGAGAGAGAATTCTGTATCTCTATATATTGTATATTATCCTTAAGCCAAAATGAGGCTTATATAAAGGAAAAAAGTTATAACCTAATTACACAATGTTACTTAATTACACAATAATCCTAATTACTATGAGTAATTACATAATGACCCAACATAAATATATATATACATAAACATTCTAACACTCCCCCTCAAGCTGGAGAATATATATCAAATAATCCCAGCTTGAAAAAGATAGTCCTTAACCGGTTATGACCCAGTGCTTTGGTAAACATATCAACTAGTTGATCTTCAGACTTCACAAATGGAGTAGAGATGCTCCCACTTAATATTTTTTCTCGAATGAAGCGACAATCAACCTCAATATGTTTGGTCCTTATGAAATACAGGATTTGATGCAATGTGAACAGCTGTTTGATTATCACAGAACAACGGAGTAGGAGCTTTAACTGTCAACCCAATTTCTTTTAGAAAATGTTGTATCTATGTCAACTCACTAGTGGTATGGGCCATTGCCTTGTACTCAGCTTCAGCACTAGATTGAGTTACCATTGTTTGCTTTTTACTTTTCCATGTAACAAGATTTCCTCCTACAAATGTACAGTAGCCTGTAGTAGATCTCCTATCTGAAGGAGAACCAGCCGAGTCGGTATCTGTAAAACCTTTCACCCTGAGATGACCATTTGATTTGTATAGTAACCCAAAACCTGGAGATTGCTTGAGATATCGGATAATCCGAAGAACAACAATCCAATGTGGCATTCTAGGAGCTCCCATGAACTGACTTACAACACTAACTGCATATGAAATATCAGGTCGAGTGATAGTGAGATAAATTAATTTCCCAACAAGGCGACGAAATTTGCCCGGGTCATTAAATAGATTACCCTCATCAGACACAAGTTTTGTATTTGAATCCATAGGAGCATCAACCAGACGACCACCTAACATACCCGTTTCTTTTAGCAAGTCCAACACATATTTTCGTTGAGATAAACTTACACCCTCCTTGGATCTAGCAACTTCAATACCCAAGAAGTACCTAAGTTTACCCAAGTCTTTAGTGTGGAATCGATTTTGCAGAAACAACTTCGACTTAGCAATGTCTTCAGAATCATCACCTGTGATCACAATATCGTCTACATACACCACAAGAAAAATGAAGCCAACTTTAGTGCGCAGGTGAAATACCGAATGATCGATCTTGCATCTGCTAAGATCAAATTCTAATGCCGCCTCAGAGAAGTTTCCAAAGAGATTGTTTCAATCCATACAGGGCCTTTTTAAGGTGACAAATAGTGTGACGATACTCCCCCTGAGCAACAAACCCAGGTGGTTGCTTCATATAAACTTCTTCAACCAAGTCACCATGTAAGAAGGCATTTTTGACATCCAATTGAAACAACGGCCGGTTACAATTGGCAGCAATGGAAATAAGAACCCGAATAGAAGAAATCTTAGCAACAGGGGAAAAAGTCTCATCATAATCAACACCATAAGTAACAGGGGAAAAAGTCTCATCATAATCAACACCATAAGTCTGAGTGTACCCCTTTGCCACCAGACGAGCCTTTAACCGCTCAATAGACCCACTATGAAGGTATTTAACTGTGTAGATCCATTTACAACCAACCGTTTTGGAGCCTGGAGGTAAGGGAACAAGATCCCATGTTCGATTACGGTGAAGGGCATCCATTTCATCTACCATGCTTGTTGCCAACTTGAATCAGAGAGAGTATCTTGCAAAGTCTTGGGAACAAAAGTAGCAGACACTTCGGATAAAAACAAGATAAAGAGGATGAAATATGATGGTAGGAGACAAAGTTAGAAATGGGATGTGCAGTAACACACGACCGAATACCTTTAGAGAGAGCAATAGGCAAATCATCAGGTAAAGGCGTTGGATCAGAAGACTCTGAAGGAGATGGAGGGAGCGGAGTAGGCAGTTGAGGTCGTCGAGTATAAACCTGCAATGGGACAATGGAGCGAGGAGGTGCGGAAGCAGGAAACGGAGAGGGAACCGAGGGCATAGGTGGCTCAGAAGTAACATCGAGAGGAGTAGTAGAATTAGAAAAATATGGGAGAGACTCAAAAAATGTGACATCAGCACCAGTGAAATAGCGTTGAAAATGAGGACTGTAACAACGATAGCCTTTCTGAGTGCGAGAATACCCAAGAAAAACACACCTAGTGGCACGAGGGTCGAGTTTATCAAGACCGGGTCCAAGGTTATGGACATAACACACACATCCAAAGACCTGCGGAGTAAGATTAAACGATGCGGAGTCGGAAAATAGAATAGAATGAGGAGATTTACCTTTTAACACTGACGAGGACATCCGATGAATAAGATGACATGCCGTAAGAATAGCATCACTCCAAAACCGTTTGGGAACATGCATATGAAATAATAGGGCACGACAGACTTCCAGGAGATGACGATTTTTACGTTCAGCTAATCCGTTTTGTTGCGGAGTATAAGTATAAGATGATTGATGAATGATGGCTTTAGCATAAAAATAAGTCTCAAAAGTGTCTGAGAAATATTTTTTGGCATTGTCAGAACGTAAAACTTTAATTGAACACCCAAATTGAGTTTTGATTTCTTTGCGAAATATTTGGAAAATAGAGAACAACTCAGAACGATTTTTCATTAAAAACAACCAAGTCATCCGAGAATGATCGTCCACAAAAGTCACAAAATAACAAAATCCATTAATAGAAATATGTTTTATTGGTCCCCATACATCTGAATGAACTCACTGAAAAGGACTAGGAACACGATTATTAGCTCTCGGTTTGAAAGATACACGACAATGCTTACTAAGCTGACATGTTTCATAAGACATGGACTCAATACAACTAAGACCGGGGACTTGACGCTGCAAAACTAATAATGATGGGTGGCCGAGACAACAGTGCCACCGGAAAGAAGACAAAGATGATTGAAGAGCCGTGGGAGATGGTGCAAGATCGAAGTAATATAAGCCACCTACTTCATGTCCCGTACCAATCCTCTTCTTCGCCTTGAGATCCTGAAAAAGACATCATGTGGGATAAAATGTAACGGAACAGTTAAAGGATTTAGTAATTTTACTAATGGACAACAAATTAAAAGGAAATTGAAGAACATATAACACAGAGGAAAGGGACATAGAAGAGGTAAGATGAATAGTTCCCAAACCCAAAACTTTAGTTGATGATCCATTAGCAAGAGTAACACTTTGAGAGGAAGGAACAAATTGAAAATCAGATAAGAGAAGAGAACTACCAGTCATGTGATCGGATGTGGCAGAGTCAAGAATCCAGGGACTTTGACTAGAGGACAAAAGACATGCAGGGGCACTACTTGATTGGGCAAAGGACCCCATGGAAGATGAGGTGGAAGGCCGTTGTTGAGACAGAAACTGAGCATACTCATCGTGGGGAATCGTGACCATAGCAGTCTCAACAGCCACATGTGGAGCAGTGGGTGTGGCAGAGAAAGAAGAATCCCCGTCATTAGAAGTCACTTGATGTGCATAGGAAGAAGGTGACGGTTTCCCATGAAGATCCCAACAGTAATTGACAGTGTGATTAGTAAGACCGTAGTGAGTGCAAAGTTTTTAGTCTCTGCCTCTACCACGACCACGACCACGGCCACGACCACGAGTAAAACGATCACTACCCCCACGAGAAGACTGAAAGCCACCCTGGTTCACAACTAAGGTAGAACGTTCACTGCTAGGAGGAGCAATGACACTACTTGAAGCACTCCCTGAAGCGCCACTAGATAAAGTAGCATGATGGAGCCTGGATAACATATCAGGAAGAGAGGGAAGTGCAGGGCTACCCAAAATCTGTGCTTGAACAGGTTCATACTCTTGTGACAATCCTGTGAGAACCCGAACAACATTAAAATCCTCATGTTGTTGTTGCATGCTTTTCACATCAGAGGTGATGGGTTGATACAAGTTCATTTCTTCATAAAGTCCCATTGCCCGTGAGAGGTATTCTTTAAAACTGAGTCCCTTGCTGGAGGTCAAAAAATTGTCTACACACCTCATAAATTCGGGTTATATTACCAGTACTTGAATATAACTATTGGAGTCGGGTCCATATCTCCTTGGCAGTGTCCAGATATAACAAGTTGGAGCTAATATGAGGTTCAATACAATTCAACATTAAGGAGATGATCTGAGCATCCCTTTGTTCCTATGAACTGAAATCAGCATCATTGTCTTTGGGTTTATCCTTAACCAAATGAGTGCCAAAGCTTTTGGCTTTCAGGAAAATGGCTACTGACTTGGCCCATAAAATGTAATTTTTGCCATTAAGCTTGACTGAAGTCATGGGAGGATTGAAGGAGGTAAAAGATAACAGGTCTGAACTGGTAGTCATGGAGAAGATAACAAAAAACGAACTTGGGAAAAAATTGCAGAATCTGTAGTCAGGCCGGATCTGGGCAGTCAGGCCGGATCTGGGCAACCGGGTCGGATCTGGGCAGTCAGGCCAGATCTGGGCAACCGGGTCGGATTTGGGCAGCCAGGCCGGAACTGGGCTGGATCAAAATTAGGTCTCTGCTATCCCGGTTTTAGTAAACCAGGGTTGGAATAGCATAACCTCCTAGCCAAACACGGCTGTTCTTCTTCACAACCCTATTGATAGACGCCGGCAAGCACGCAGCGGTGACGGCAACCCAATCACAAGCAGCGGCCGACTCAATAATCAGCAACACCACACCGAATCAGAACCTTTGCAACTTCCGACCAAGAGAAAAGACGAATTGATGAAGCCTCACCTCTGCAAATGACGACGGTGGATGTCAGAGAGCTTGCTGACAACCAAAGCGGCAACAACACGAGCAGCCAAAGGGGCTTCAGATCTGACGATGACGACGACGAATGAGGCTCTCAACCTGCTGGCGACCAAAACTTCTGGCAACGACACCAACAACACACTCGCGATTCCGATCGCGATTCTAATTTCATACAAGAACAACACAATTGTCGTTTCCGACACCCATGAATTCATATAGCGCTGATACCATGTTCAAATTCATGAGAGAGAGAGAGAGAGAGAGAATTCTGTATCTCTATATATTGTATATTATCCTTAAGCCAAAATGAGGCTTATATAAAGGAAAAAAGTTATAACCTAATTACACAATGTTACTTAATTACACAATAATCCTAACTACTATGGGTAATTACATAATGACCCAACGTAAATACATATATACATAAACATTCTAATAGTGGGTTAATATTACCGTACCTGGAAAATTTTACAGTGCTGCTATCTCCACATGGGGTTTCTAGCTATTTCGATTTTGGTGGAGCATATAAATCTCAGCTACAAGCATTGCAGAAATTATATTCTTCGATATATTTTATAGAGTTGATACATCACTTGCGAGCCATTGCTTATGGTAAAAGTTTAAACTGCAAATATGAGAATGTGGGTTCAATTCTGAGAGAAGATGCTGCATAAAATAATACCATAGGTTTAAGACTTATATCCCTCCCAAACCCCAAAAAAATAAATAAATAAACAAATAAAAAATAAAAACCAATGCTAAGGTTGAAGTGATAATTTATGAAGAGGAAGGATATTTAAATAAAGAGGCAGATGTCTATGCAGAATTGAACACGTATATGATGGATGTATCATGGATCTCTCCCTCCCTCTCTCTCTTTTCTTTTCCTTTTGGTATGTAAGCAACTCACACACTTTTTGCCCCAAGTGAGGCTTCAACCCTCAACCTCCTCTTTGGGGAGGTGTAGGAGATACTATCCAAGCTAGGGGATTAGTGGTGGCAAAGAAAGAAGTTGCTAATATAATTGGCTTGCATCTCGCATAGGATATATTGTTAATGCAGACAGTGTTTTAGTTCATGGAATAATTCAAAATAAATTAATTAGAGAAATGGAATCATGAATATTAACTGTGAAGACACCCTAGAACAAGTAGGGGATATTGGAGGGACAAAGTAGCAAGGTGCTTTTGGTGCCCTAGTTTGGTGGCTATGGCAGAAGCTCCATCCTACGGCATATGCTGAAAGATAGACCATGTGTACTGTTATTCTTATGTGTTTCCAAATTATAACACGAATGTGTTGCAGTTCACAGTTGGAATTTTTTGAGAGAAGATCACTTTTTTCGGGTTTCTAGGATGCAGACGATTTTCTTGGATTTTTATGATTGAAGATATCCTTCGAGGGGATTTCTTATATTTTTACCAAATGTATTTGTGTGCAATCATAGTAATAACGATGTGCAGTGGAACAAATACGCCATATAGTTATATCATTTATGTGCTTTCTTCATCAATTCCTGGACCACTGACATGTCTCTTCCCATTTACCAACATGTGTAGGAAGTTCAAATGCGACATTTGCTGACATGTTTCTGCCCATCTACTTGTATGCTTTATAATCTGTGGACATCATGTTATTGCACCTGTGTAATTCTAGTGACCATCTCTACTTTGATTTTACCAGAAATCAAATCCTCCAGGTGCTGTTGGGACTAGCCTTGCTCTAGAGACAATAATTTCACATTCTTCTCTAGATATCAAACCTTTTAGGTGCAATATTTTTTGCATATTTTGCTTTCCCTTTTTTATTTAAAAGCTGCGAAAACTTGGCCATTATTTTTTCATTCTAAATCATTTCCATGTTGCCACAATTAATGCAGAAATGATATTAGCATTAATGTTCTTGTTTGTTCAAGAGGAGGGGGTGGCTTATTGAAAGAGCGCATGGAACTAGTTGCTGAGTTATGGGATGAGAGCATCAAGGTTTGTGACTGATTTTCTATGAATTTGGGCTGCAATATTAGAGTGACTAAGAATCCAACATACTTACATGCTCACTTAATATCTAACAGGCTGAGTTCGTCCCCACGTCTGATCCAAGCTTTACAGAACAGTATGAATATGCAAATGAGCATGACATTAAGTGTCTTGTCATCATAACAGACACCGGTGTGTCTCAAAAAGATTCTGTTAAGGTATTAATACTAATTCTAGAAGTTTCTATCTTTTACTTCTGTGCTGTTTGTGAACTTCACCAAAATGACCATAATAGGTTGCTTGTGAATTTTTAAAGGAACTCCGTATATCTTATTCATCTATGTTGTGTGTCAATCCTGTCTTCTAATGGTCCTAAATCAAAATCCTTTAAACTTAGCATTCTGATGCGTGTCTTTTTTCTTTTTTCATTTCTTTCTGTTGAAAAAGAGATATTTGGTTTTAATAAGACCATATTTTAGGGGATATGATAGGCGTGTAAATATAGATAGTCAATGACCAGATTTTAGGGGATATTTTAGTGTATAACCTATAGCTTCTATTAGTGCACAGCCTGTAGCTTCTGTTAGTATACAGCCTGTAATTACAGCCTGTAGTTTGCTGTCACAGCTTGTAGTCAGCTTGTAGTTTCCTTTTTTTAGCCCCTTGTATGTCCTATTTAACTAAAGCATTGTAAACCATTCAAAGAAAGGCAATATACAGATTTTCTTTCAATCTTGAAATCGCCTATTTGGTATCAGAGCATCTTACCGATTCTTCTGGAAAAAAAACCCCTAGCTGTTCCTTTTTTTTTTTCTCTTCCAAACAACTCTAATCACCATGTCTGATGACATACCTGAGTCCAAGACCAAGACCTTTGAGTCCCAAGTCCAAAACTCTCAGACACACTCGGTCCAGATTACCACAATTCGGCTAAATGGTGAGAACTTCCTTTGCTGGTCCCAGTCTGTGCGGATGTATATCCGAGGCAGAGGCCAAATCAGCTACCTAACAGGAGAAAAGAAGGAACCAAAACCTGAAGATCCATCCTACTCGACCTGGGATGCAGAGAATTCGATGGTGATGACCTGGTTGGTGAATTCTATGGAGGAGGACATCAGTTCTAATTATATGTGTTACCACACAGCAAAAGAACTTTGGGACAATGTCAACCAAATGTATTCAGACCTAGGAAATCAGTCTCAAGTCTATGAACTAACGCTGAAACCCGGAGAGATCCGTCAAGGAGATAACAGTGTTACAAAATATTTCAACTCTCTGAAACGTTTATGGCAGGACCTTGATTTGTTCAGCGATTATGAGTGGAAATCGCCTGAAGATTGCAACCATTACAAAAAGAAGGTGGAAGACAACCGCATCTTCAAGTTTCTCATTGGACTCAATGTCGAGTTTGATGAAGTGAGAGGCAGAATAATTGGACGACAACCCTTGCCTTTAATCGGTGAAGTCTTCTCCGAGGTTCGAAGAGAGGAAAGTCGCAGGCTGGTCATGCTTGGAAAAAAGTTATCAAATGGTGCTATTGAGACCTCTGCCTTGGTCGCATCTGAAGCGAATATTGGCAGGAAACATAATGAAAAGCCCCGTCTTTGGTGTGACCACTGCAACAAGCCTCACCATACCCGTGAAACCTGCTGGAAAATTCATGGTAAACCAGCGAATTGGAAGAGTAAGCAGGAAGGCAGATTCAACCAGGAAGGCAGATTCAACCGAGCCCCATCAGCTCATGAAGCCGAGGCACTTCCCTTTAGCAAAGAACAGATGGATCATCTTCTAAAATTGCTGAAATTCAATTCCTCATCTGGTACTCCTAATGTTTCTCTTGCTCAAACAGGTAACAACCCGAAGGCCTTATCTTGTCGTTCAAATTCCAGTGTTACCCCATGGATCATTGATTCAGGGGCTTCTGACCATATGACAAGTTGTTCTCATTTATTTCAAACTTATTCACCCTGTTCTGGCTCTGAAAAAAAAATCAGAATAGCTGATGGTTCTTATTCTCCTATTGCAGGCAAAGGTTTAGTGAAACTTTCAAAAATTATTGATCTTAAGTCTGTCCTTCATGTCCCTAAGCTTGCTTGTAACCTTTTATCAGTTAGTAAATTGTCCAAAGACTCTAATTGTCGTGTTATCTTTTTTGAATCCTATTGTGAATTTCAGGACCCGAGCTTGGGGAAGACGATTGGCAGTGCTAAGATGATAGATGGTCTCTACTATTTTGAAGATGATATTTCAAGTAATAAAAAGGCTCAAGGTTTGAGTAGTTTTCGTTCTATCCCTGTTAGAGAACAAATAATGCTATGGCATTTTAGACTAGGGCATCCTAGTTTCCCTTATCTTAAAAAATTATTTCCTTCTTTGTTTAAAGGATTGGATTGTTCATCTTTTTATTGTGAGAATTGTTTTTTATCAAAGAGTCATCGTACTACGTATTCTCCTAAACCTTACCAAACATCAAAACCATTTTATTTAATCCATAGCGATGTTTGGGGCCCTTCTAGGATCACAACTCTTTCTGGAAAAAAATGGTTTGTGACTTTTATTGATGATCATACACGTTTGTGTTGGGTGTATATAATGAATGAAAAATCTGAAGTTGAAAAATTATTCAAGGATTTTTATATGATGATTGAAAATCAATTTCAAACAAAAATTGGCATTCTTCATACTGATAACGGCACCGAATACTTTAATGAAGTTTTAGGAAGTTTTTTAACAGAAAAAGGAATTTTTCACCAATCCACTTGTGTTGACACACCCCAACAAAACGGAATTGCTGAAAGAAAGAATAAACATTTACTTGAAGTTTCTCGTGCCATCATGTTTTCAATGAATGTTCCTAAGTATTTGTGGGGTGAAGCCGTTTTAACAGCAACATATTTGATTAACAGGATGCCTACTCGTGTTCTTAACTATTTTACACCCCTTGAAAGCCTTAAAAAATCTTTTCCTGAAACTCGGATTTATTCAAACCTGCCTTTGAAAGTATTTGGGTGCACTGTCTTTGTCCATTTACCTAGTAGACTTCGATCTAAATTGGATCCTCGGGCTGAAAAATGTGTATTTGTTGGGTATGCCCCGAATAAAAAAGGGTACAAATGCTTCAATCCGACAAAAAAAAAAATGTTTATCAGTATGGATGTTTTTTTTCTAGAAAATCATCCTTATTTTCAGAAAACTTTTCTTCAGGGGGAGAAAGAGAGTGAAGAAAATTTTTGGGAGATTTCTACTAATATTCCCTTACCTAAAACTATTGTCTCACACTCTACTCCAAACACTGATCTTTTTAAACAAGAAAATGTGTTCTAGAATCAGGAAACCCGGGGCCTCCTAGTCCTAATCTGCCGAGCCTTACTGTATCTCCAACAGGGGGAGAAATTCTACCAACGGTTCCAAAAAAACCGAATCCTGAGCTTCTGGTTTATAACAAAAAAAAGACTCATCAAAAGAGTAGAGAGCCTACTATTGTACCTGAGCAAGGCCAATCAGAGGTCCCGAGCAATGACTCCCTAAACACTCAAGGTACTCTAAATCCTAACTTGTCTGCAGTTGTCCCTACTATTTCTAATCGTACAGAGACACCTAGCCAAGTTCCTGTAGATCTTGATATCCCTATAGCTGTTAGAAAAGGAATCCGAACCTGTACCCAGCATCCCATTGCCAAATACTTGTCTTATGATAAACTTTCCCATAAACATAGGGCCTTTACTTCAAATATTTCTCACTTGTTTGTTCCAAGAAACATTCAGGAAGCACTAGATGATCCGAATTGGAAATCAGCAGTGTTAGAGGAGATGAATGCTCTTAAAAGGAGTGGAACGTGGGAGATAGTTGACTTACCCAAAGGAAAGAAAACTGTTGGGTGTAAATGGGTTTTCACTATTAAGTGTAAAGCTGATGGTAGTGTGGAAAGGTACAAGGCAAGACTTGTGGCGAAAGGTTTTACGCAAACGTACGGCATTGATTACCAAGAGACGTTTGCTCCTGTAGCAAAAATAAATTCTATCCGAGTCTTATTATCGTTGGCAGTCAATTCTAATTGGCCATTACATCAATTGGACATAAAAAATGCCTTTTTAAATGGAGACTTGGAAGAAGAAGTGTTTATGAGCTTGCCACCTGGGTTCGAAGGAAAACACAGTCAGAGCAAAGTCTGTAAACTCAAAAAATCCCTGTACGGTTTGAAACAGTCTCCAAGAGCGTGGTTTGAACGTTTTGGAAAGGCTGTGAAGAGTCATGGGTATCATCAGAGTCAGGCAGACCATACCATGGTCTTCAAACACGGTGAGGAAGGGAAAATTGCCATTTTAATTGTGTATGTGGATGATATAATTTTGACAGGTGATGACATTGAAGAGTTGACCAGACTGAAGAAGAAACTTGCTAAAGATTTTGAAGTCAAAGATCTGGGAGCATTAAAATACTTCCTTGGAATGGAATTTGCCAAGTCAAGAGAAGGAATTTTCGTGAATCAACGAAAATATGTACTTGATTTGCTTAATGAGACAGGACTACTCGGGTGTAAAGCTGCTGACACTCCAATTGAAGTCAACCTGAAGTTAGAAGCTGCCGAACCCGAGAATATGGTTGATCGTGAAAGATATCAGAGATTGGTGGGAAGACTAATTTACTTATCTCACACACGCCCAGATATAGCATTTGCAGTCAGTATGGTGAGTCAGTTCATGCACTCTCCTGGACAGGAACACTTTGAAGCAGTGTACAGGATTCTGAGGTACTTAAAGGGCTCACCAGGTAAAGGACTTATGTTCAAGAAACAAGGTCATTTACAAGTGGAGGTGTACACAGATGCTGATTGGGCAGGCAGTATAGTTGATAGACGATCTACCTTAGGATATTGCACCTTCGTTGGAGGAAACTTAGTCACGTGGCGAAGCAAGAAACAAAATGTAGTAGCGAGGAGTAGTGCAGAAGCCGAGTTCAGAGCACTCGCCCATGGGATTTGCGAAGCTATATGGTTAAAAAGACTCCTTGAAGATTTGAAGGTTATTGTTTCTCCTCCAATGAGAGTCTACTGTGACAACAAAGCTGCCATTTCAATTGATCATAATCCAGTCCTCCATGACAGAACCAAACATGTGGAAGTTGACAAACACTTTATCAAGGAAAAGCTTGACTGTGGTATGATTTGCATTCCTTATGTCTCTACTACTGAACAAGCTGCAGACATCCTTACCAAAGGACTACACAAGAAACAGTTTGAAGTTTTAAGAAGCAAGCTAGCTATGGAAGACATCTACAAGCCAGCTTGAGGGGGAGTGTTGAAAAAGAGATATTTGGTTTTAATAAGACCATATTTTAGGGGATATGATAGGCGTGTAAATATAGATAGTCAATGACCAGATTTTAGGGGATATTTTAGTGTATAACCTATAGCTTCTATTAGTGCACAGCCTGTTGCTTCTGTTAGTATACAGCTTGTAATTACAGCCTGTAGTTTGCTGTCACAGCTTGTAGTCAGCTTGGAGTTTCCTTTTTTTAGCCCCTTGTATGTCCTATTTAACTAAAGCATTGTAAACCATTCAAAGAAAGGCAATATACAGATTTTCTTTCAATCTTGAAATCGCCTATTCTTTCAATCTTTCCTCTACTTTATTTTTTTTATTTTTTATTTTTCTTTAGGTTGCATGGAGGGTACAACTTATTTTTATTTTATTTTATATCATGTTTTCAAGGTTCACCTTAATAATAAAAGGAATATAATATAGAATCATATCATCTTTGAAGAAAGATAATCAAGTATGATATATGACAACTCTGTGCCTAGTCATGGTAGCTGGATGTGGTTCTGTTCTAGAAGACGAGATGTAATATTTCATGCTCCATTGACTCCAGGTTTAAGGATTTTTGAGCTTTTGAGAAATTCAATGAGATGAGCATGAAAATGCATTAACTGATATATATATATATATAGTATTAGAATGCTCAAGATTAACTGTTATTTAACTCAAGAAACCCTTTGTTTTACTGCTTGTTCTCGCTGTAAGAATCCTTTTTCTCTACTCATCAAAAAAAAAAAAAAAAAAATAGAAATCATTTTTCTCCATTCAGCTTTATCTAGAGTAATTTCTTTTACACGTCTTTTCATAACTATACCAAGATGTAATGACACTAGTATTCTAAAATGTTATACACCTAGTGATTGTGTACACTTATTTAATGCATTAATTCCAAAATGTTATTTTTTAATTTTGATAGGTAAAAGGCAACGCTGAGAATTGGTGCAAAATCAAGTAAATTTTTTGGATGATAGATGCAAAATAACTTATTAACCTGGAAAGATAATAAAAATAATGAAAAGGAGCAAAAGAGGCATGTGTGACATCATTAGATTAGAGTTCACTTGGTATGAATGAATAATTTAAGCTCCTTATTTCACTTTTCACACAAGTTTTATAAACCTTTTCAACAACATTGGCAGAATGCACGGTGTCTTCTTATTTTGTTTAGTTTTACTGGTTACCAAATTAGATATAAACGGAATATTAAACATTGAAAGTTGAATATTTGAGATATGGCCAATGCTTGATGCATTTCGAAAATTTCAGTGTCAACTGCGGAAATGCGGGTCTGAGTCTCTAGCAGAGACTTGATGTGTATATAAGCGGAAGCCAGTCTACCCTTACCAGCAGAGTAGTATATGGCATTTTATATTTGCAATATACCTTATCTTTGAATTTGAAGGAAGATTGACTATTGGGCTTGCCTTTGTGGTGGCACCTCCTACCAAGTAGCAAATTTTTTGGTTTAAATTTCATCTAGATGTAATGACTTTCTAGCTTCTTGATAATTATGTCTTTGCATTTCTGAATCTTTCATGACGTGTGACAGGATGCATATATTTTGTATTTCATACTATACAGAAAAAAGTGTTTTCAAATTGCACGGTATAATTCAACTAGCTGTTCTTTCCTATAAAATGATTATAGTTGGGAATTATAGTGAACGCCAGATTACTGGAATGATGCTGCAATTGAACTTGGTGTGCAACTCATGTCCTCTATGTATGCGGATGGACTGGAATTTAGGGTCTCACATAAGAGTTTGAGAAAATTATTTTGGAATTACATTCTTATAATTAGACAATGATCATCATTGTCTTTTCTTTACTGGCTCACTCTATATGTGCATTAGGCGGATCTTTTGAAATTGTAATTCTAATTCTAATTATTGGCTCTATAGGTCCGTCATCTTGAGCTCAAGAAGGAGAAAGAAATCGAGAGACAAGACCTTGTCAAATTTCTCTTAGAGGCGATGGCAAAACAATTTCGAGACCCATCCATTTGGAACTAGGCCTGTTTGCTTTAAAAGGCACTCTTCTTCAGGTTTGCTTTAGCAACTACTACATGATCCATCAAATCTTTGTGAAATAGAAGAATGTATTTATTGATTTTAGTGAAGAGTGAAGCCTACATTGGAGATTAGTTATATATGAAGTGGAGATAAAGGGCTTTCTTTGAATCTGGCTCTACTTGCAAAACTTAGTCACAACCCTAGTTTTGCAGAAGGCCCTTTCACTCTGAATTATCTGCATTGCAGAGAAAAAGGATGCCATGTTGACTGTGCTAATAATCCACTTACCAGTGTAACATATTTTATTACTATTCATTCACTCGAACATTTGAGAAGCATTTGTTTATTTCCATTAAGTTTCTCACTGTTGGGTATTATGTTACAGATTAATGATTATGGTCCTTTTCGACTGCTCCCCCTCAAGCCGAAGAAAGTCAAACTTGACAATAAGATGGAACAAGCATCTTCCAGGAAGGGGAAAGAAAGTCCAGCAGTAATTCTTGCTATACTTCATTTTTTTCTTATTTGTATATAATTTAGTTGTAGTTGTGAACAGTTTTGGTACCGTGCGTTAATGATGTACATAGAGGGATAGTCGATTCATTTGGTAGAAAATAAATCAGTCAAAAGGCTCTACATTCTTCTTTTTTATAGAGGATGATTTGTATATAACAATTTTTTAAATAATAATAATAATATAAGAAATGTGTCCCTTATGTTGCCCGAAAATCTACTTTTTTTGTCTAAATTTTGTTTATGTTTGTGGAAATCCATACTGTATGAGAAGATCAATCACAGAAATGGCAATCCTTCATGATACGTTTTTGAGACATTCAAACATGTCCCCGTAAATATGCTTGCAGCTTTTAAAACTCGCCAGTAAAATTATTCATGATTCCAGAGCACAAATTCTGCATTTAATTGATTTTGCTTCTCTCTCCCTTTTCTGTTTTTTTTTTTTTTTGTATATATATGTGTGTGTGTGTGTGTGTGTAATGGTTATCGTTTGTAGCACATCATTTGCATTGGGATAAGAATTAAATTTAAAGTAGAGGTAACACAAATCATCATTCATGGCCGTTAGGCTACAAACCATACTGTTGAAGTATTGGTAACTACAATAGCTAAAAGAAGCGGCCAAATGAAAATTTAAGAAGTCTTTAAAGTTGGGATCAAAACGATGCTGGGTACTTCACTAACTGAAATTCATGTTTCTCAAAGAACTACATCTTAAATTAAAATTGATAAATTTTATGCAAATTAATCAACACCAAATGCCTTCCTTTGACTTAATTGAGGTTCACAAGCATTAGTTTGTATTCATGTAAATATAATTGAGATTGAATTCAAGTCAATGATGCAGGAGGTGGGAGAGTGACAAAATTAATTACGTAAAATAAAGTGAGGACGAGAGCAAAATTAGTTACGTAAAATAAAGTGAGGTAAGAGCGCGTGCAGAGCAAAAGACGAAACCGATGCCAACACTTTTGATGATTAAATGACCTTTGAAAACTTCTAATTAAAAGCGCAATGTCATCGAGCCCTTATAGCTCAGTGGTAGAGCGTCAGTCTTGTAAACTGAAGGTCCGCAGTTCGATCCTGCGTGAGGGCATTTTTTTTATTCTTTTCATATGCTAACATTTTGACAAAAATGCATCCTAAACTTCTGGTTCAAACTATCCACACTCCACTTGGGTGACTTTCTTTTCTGGGCTGACACAACTTTGAGCTTCCTTTTGCTCTTCAATCAGGTGTCATGACTGAATCGTACTAGATTAAAATGAATCTAAAATTCGATGCTAATCGAATCGATTTTAAAAACAACCAAATTAAACCTCGCAAAATGGTGTCCTGGGTACAAAAGAGCATCCAGCCCACATACATACAAATAATAGTCATCGAACACATCCGGAGCTCGTATAAAGAAGCAAATAAATTTCTAAGTACAAAATCTAATTATATAGAGAGTTGGAGACTAATCTTCCTGAAAGGTAAAAGAGCAAATTGTTACACTTAATTGATTGCACAAGAAAAATGAGCTCAAAGTCACACCAACAAAGCATTTGTGGCGGTAGAAATGGTGGTGGCAACTGGCAATAGAAAATTACATCCTTCCCATTTTTCCCTTTACATTTCTTCATCCAAGAAACTAAATACCCACCAATAATTTCGTCATTTCTTCTTCAAAATCTAATTTTGTGCTGTACGTACATGTTTTCTTGAGGAGAAGCAGGTCCAATCTCTTCTTCCAAACTTCTCAACCCATTCCCAACACTTCCAGTACCATTGCCCACATTTCTGGCTTCCAAGTTCTTCCCTTCGATGTCTGCCTCAGAAGCCGAGGACTTCCTCCTCTGTGAAGAAGAAGCAACGCTTGGAAAAGTGATCCACGAAGGAGCTCGAAACTCCAACCTTTGATCCTCACTTTCTAAGACATCGGTGGTTTCTGAGACTGACTGATTGGAAGATCTTTGAGAGGGCTTCTTATGCAATCTACTGCTTCCCAAAACCACCTCAGTTGGCAAAATTGGTTGCTCATCGCTTGGACCACCCATCAATTGTGCAAGTGCTCGCTCCAAAGCTGTCGTCACTATATCCATCGATGGCCTATCCTTTCCTCTCATTCTTACACATTTACAAGCCACATTTGCAATCCTTTTCAAAGCTTCAAGATCAGATGGGGGTTTCAAGACTGGATCCAGAATCGCTTGTATATCTCCGGCCTTGATCAAAGGAACTGCCCATTCAACTATATTTCCTTCTTCAAATTGCATATCAATGGCTTTCCTACCACTCACAATTTCTAGAAGTAAAACGCCAAAACTGTACACATCAGATTTGGTTGTAAGGTAGTGAAGCCTATAGTACTCAGGGTCAAGATATCCAAGAGTCCCTGCAGGTAGCTCGGCCAATGGGGAGCTACTGTTGGCAGGTCCCAACAAAGATAGACCAAAATCAGCTACTCTGGCATTTCGTTCTTCATCAATCAGAATGTTTGAAGACTTTATGTCTCGGTGAATCACAGGTGGGCAAGCATAACCATGCAAGTATTCAATTCCCCGAGCTGCTTGGACTGCAATGGTAACTCTCCTTACCCAATCTAATTGCTCCTTTAAGGCCATGTTCTTCCCATGGAGGTGTTGATGCAAAGAGCCATGAGCCATAAACTCGTAAACCAGAAGCCTCTCTCCACCTTCTTCGCAATAGCCAAGTAAATTGAGCAAATGGGCATGATTTAATCTAGAGAGTAGATCTAGCTCAGTGTGGAACTCATTTGAATTCTTCTTCATATCAGGAAACATTATAGCCCTTTTAACCGCAACAACTGTCCCATCCTTCAAGATCCCTTTGAAGACGCATGAAAAACTTCCCTTTCCCACTTGGGATTCTTCCTTAAACCCATCAGTGGCCTTTTCAAGTTCCTTGTAAGTAAACATATGAGCTCTCCTAATCTTAAGTTCATCCAAGTCAGACCAAGTTTTCCCACCATCTTTTTGGAAAGAACCATTCCCAGAATTAATTTTCTTGGATTTCATGTTTTTGGCTGAGCATCTACAGTTCCTTAACTTGTAGTGGACGTATAAAATTGCAGTCAAAGACACAACACTCACCAAGAAAACAACAAAGGCGATTTCTGCTATAATGACTGGCAATTGAAGTGACCCAAACCTTTGATTACTCTTTCCAGCCAATGCATTGGAATAAGAACAATTTGAGAAGCATTCAGCTGAGGCACAAATGGAACAGTTGAATTCACAGTGTCTATCTGCTGTTGAAGTGCATTCGGCTTTTTGGTACATTTCAGCAGGGCAACCACTGGTGCATGGCAAGCAAATGTGAGATCCAGGAGACTTGCAATATGCACTTCCATTGTTAAATTCATAGAAATGGGGCGCACAAGTACTGGGCTTGCAGAGACCAGGAGAAACGGCTATCGGTAGGGAGGAGGGAAACCCATCACCCCAACAAACAGGCAGGAGAGATTTCTCAGCAAGAACTCCACAAGTGAAGTAATCCCCAGCTGCAATCTCATAGAGCTTAATTCCATTGGGAGGTGGGGTACTTCTCTCAAATATAAAACCCCAACAAACCACCCCACGATCATAGCTCTTTATTCCACAAGCATGGAATCTACCTCCAACAACTGAAAGCATGGACACATTCGGAGCCAAGTCCACATTAACTTGACCAGAATGCACCACGGAGATCTCTTCTTCACAGTCCATGCTCCTTCCCCAACAAAACACCCTAGAATTCACCCCCTCTAAAATTCCACAAACATGAAACCCACCAGCTGCAATCTTTTGAAATCTCATTTCCTTGGGAATTAAGCTGATTACTCGGCTACTAGTCTCGTCACCCCAACAGAAAACACTTCTATTCTGAGAAAACAATCCACAGTTGAACTCAGAACCAGCTGAGATAGACTGGACCTGCCCATCAAACACATTGTTTGCAGTCATGTTATAACCCCAACAGTCGATGACAGAAGTGTTTCTGCGGCTTCCAATTAAGGGTTTTCTCAAACCACATAAATGGTGATCCCCAGCACTGATTTCCAAGTATTCAGACCCTCTAACCATGGGTTGAGGAACACCTATTTGAATAAAATCACTATTTCCCCAACAATAAGGTTGGTTTGAGTCCATTAAGAGGCCACAAACGAAGCCATTGCCGGCAGTTAGACCCTTAAAAGTATTATGAGCTGGAGTTGCATAGTTTATAACTGAATTTGATCCATAACAATTCACTAGATGTGACCCATCTGGTCTCAGACCACATAAAGCAGGACCATTCTCACCATATGAAATGGCAATGGAAGACATGGAACCTAGACCTAAAACCAACCCCCATAACTCAAAAAACGCTGCAAATATTATGGGAAGTTGTACAAGAAATCTAGGCTTCCCTCTGTCGATTTTCAGGATCCCAATAACAAAATCTCTTACCCAAAACCTCCAAATGTCCATTACACGAGAAAACCAAACCAACTATTCAAAATAAACCACAATGCCCACCAAAATCACTGAACAACAATGTGTGCTTGTACCTTGAATTTTCAGCAAGAAAATACTATTGCAAAATTAACATAAATAAACTTCCATGGCCAAACAGCACTATTGGAGGAACTTACCAAGACAAGAATCAAAAGGTTTCAACTTGAATAGGAACTAATTTCTGCAATATCAACCAAAATAAGATAAAACCCATGTGTCCGCTGTTTGTTTCTTCAATTCCCATGTCAGAAATTCAAGCTTCCCGGGCTCCTCCCACTGTTCAAAACAGAGCCTTCGTCTTCCACCCAAGAAACAGAGTTGGAAATCATCTGCAGACATTGAATCAAACAACGCACTAAGGATCGAACTTAATTGGTTCCTTTTAAGTTGATCATGGTACAGTACGGTCAGTACCTATTCACGGAAAAGGTTGTTTCTTTTATTTATTTCCTCTATGCTTTGGTTTGCAGAGTGTTGGTGGGCAAGTGAAGTGTTTTGGGTTGGGAAGGATTCATGGTTGGTTGGTTGGTTGCAGAGTTTTGCTATTTGCAGACTATGAATGAATGAATGGGTGATAACGGTGAATGCCGTCTATGAGAGAGCGAGAGCGAGAGAGGGGTCATTCATTAAATGCAATAAAACTAAAGGTTCTCACTACTACTTGCAAAGGGTAGGTGAATGCATTGAATTGGAAGTTAATGCATACTCACCTTTTCATGCCTGCATTTCTGCGCACATTTCCATTATTTCCATTTCCTTTTCGAGGAGTGCTAAACACAGTCTGCATATATGATTAGTTAAAAAATAAATTATAATTACTGTCTCTTTCTTAATTTTTTGAAATTTTAAAATTCTTAATTTTTTGAAATTTTAAAATTTTAACTTTAAGACCAAATTATTCTTTTAAATTATTTCTTATTTCTTTATACTTAATAAATTTCCTTCTTTCCTTTGTTATATATATTTAACTTTATAGTTTTCTTTTATTTTTAACAATTGTCTTCTTTTTTTTCTTTCTTTCCTGATTAGATATATATGGCTATACTTCATTATTTACTTTCTTTCTTTTTTTGCTCACTTGTCTTTTATATATATATATATTCCACCTTGATGGATTTTTTATTAGATTTTATGTAATTTAATTGAAATAACGGTATGAGATTGAATTTTAATTAAAGTAATATTATAAAATTTGAGTTTGAGTTAATACATGAAATAAGAAAAGTATGGTTTCCAATCTATTCATATATGGTTAACTACTATATATATATATATGAAATGAAAAAATTGAAAAAAGAAAAAGAAAAGGAAAGAAGCAATTAATTCACATAAATTTTTTACAGTGAGTAACCATTCACATGGTGAGCATATATCTATATATAGTTAAAAACAATTGAAAATAGAGAAAGAGATAAAAGAATACGGTAGGTAAGTAAAGAAGAATGAAGGTTATATATATGTGCATACGTACAAGTAGGATAGAATATATATATATATATATATATAAAAGGATAATTTGGTCTTAAAAGTTAAAGTTTTATAATTTAAAAAGAAAAAAAAAGAAGCATTAATTATAACTTCTATAATTAGGTTTTTCAACCAATTAGATGTGCGACTGTGAATGCACAGTCGCACAATGTTTAGCATTCCTCTTCCTTTTTATGCATTTTTTTTTTTTTTCCTAACTTGTTACCTTTTCCTTTCACCTAATTTTCTTTCCTCTGTTCAATTTTCTTAAATGTTTTTTTTTTTTTCTTTTATAAATAACTCAGGCATATATTTTGTGATGCTTGAATTCTCAAATTTTATTTTAAAAAATATAGAGACAGTTTTTTAATTACATTATTAAAATATATAAACTTTAAATTATCTTACTTTTAAATAGAGCTTCGAAATAGGCTTATATAGGCCCGTTTGGTAATTGTTTTTATTTATTATTTATCATTTAAGTTTAAATATAATGAGTGTTTATGTGTAATTTTGTTTATCGTTGAGTAATTGTTTTTGTTTATTGTTTATCATTTAAACTTAAATATAATGAGTGTTTATGTGTAGCTTTTGTTTATCAATAAACAGATATATTGTTTAGTAACGTAAAAATGTTTGTCTTATTTTAAAAACAATAAACAGAAAAACATGTTTGTTAACTTTAATCTATTTTTTTTTTTTTTTTAATTCAACATCAATTTCAAAATAATAATAAAAATTTCTATGAAGTGCTCAATTATTTTATTTATAATGGCTTTTAGGTAACAAATTGCTATTCCAATCAAAAAAAAAAAAAAAAAAAAAAAAAATTAGAAGGTACTCATAACTTAGGTAATATTTTAAGATATCCATTATAAAGACGAGTAATGATCTCTTACTCCCCATGAAACAAGAAAATTCATCTCCACTTTCTATAGTGACCATTAGATTTAATTTAACGGTCATTATAGAAACCTGTTTACATCATTTTCTTTTAATATAAAACCATTGTTACTATTTCTAATTTCTAAATTTAATATTTACCAATACTACTAATTACAATAATAAAAGGTAATTATCCCAAAAAAATTGAAACCTTCGGAAATCACATCTCTCAACCAAAAAATTACAAGAGACAAAAAATAATAATAATAATAATAAAATAATTAAAAAATAATATTTTAATCCATTAAATTTTATGCAGGTGAAGTGTTGTGTAGAAAAAAAATAAATTTTATTTTTATTTATATATATTTTTGAGTTGATGTTTCATATGTCATTAGTTTAATTTTCCTAATTTGAATAGGTATAATATGTATGATTATGACTATAATTTATTATTAAAATTGTTAAACAAACTTAGTGAATGGTTTGTGGCACTTTTGTAAGAATCTGAACTTATGATTAAAAGGAGACAAAGAAGATAAAGAACTTGCAAATTCAATTTGTATGGAGAAAGAGAAAATTCTCTTGTTGGTCATCTGTATGGAGAAAGAGAAAATACTATTGTAGGTTTTTGAAAGAGACTTATTTTCAAAGGTGAAGAGAAATCTATATATATATTTTTGAGTGATTACCTTTTATTGTTATAGTTAGTGGTTTGATAAATTTTAAATTTGGAAACTAAAAATAATATTGGTGGTTTTGTATTAAAAGGAAAGAATATAGGTGAGTTTCTATAGAGACCGTTCGATTAGATCTAATGGTCTCAATAAAAAGTGCGGATAAATTTTCTTACTCCACGGGGAGCAAGATATCACTACTCTTATAAAGACCTACCAAAATAATCTAAGAATGAAGCTTTGGATTTATTCTTATTATTCCGCTTGATATACAAATATAAGTTAATTGTTTGACTCACTTCCTTTCCGGCTAATATAAACCCTTTATATCTATGGTTAATTTCATTGACACTTTTTCAGTTTTGGCTAAATATCACATTAAAACAACTCTAAAAAATAACTATCACTTGATCCAATTTTACTCTTACTTTAAAATCGACAATTTTACTTTTATTTTTAAATTTATTTTAATCCAAAATATAAGTAAACTTAAAAAGACAAAATTGCTATTTCCATGACCAAAAAAAAATAATAATAATAATAAAAAAAATTAAACAACCAAACCCTACTTTGGACCGAGTCTTGCAGGTGCCTATTGTCAATACTACGGGCCTGTCTTAAAATATAACAACATCTTTTTAAGGAAGCAGCTATCTTTTCGTTCTCTACTAAAATAATATTTCCTATTCATTTCTTGCTTTTGTTCATTGTGTCTTGCTTGTTCCTTTACTTCTTCTCGTCTCGTGCATGTCAAAGAACCATCATATGAACGAAATAACTATAAAATTTGTGAAAGAAACAACTATATCAAGAAATATAGATCCTAGTTTACATTATATTTTATTCTCTTCTTTTTTGTATGGATTATTTTCTTCATATATATATATATATATATATATATATATATGTATATATATATATTTTCATAATGAAACAAGATGGGTTTTAAGCAGTAAAATTGAAAGATGACTTTGCTCTCTATATTTCCTTTCTCTTCTTGAAATTTTTATTTTTTTAAGAAATATATGAACAATAAAATTGAAAGATTGGTTTGCTTTCTGTACCACAAATAATGAAAAGCAATCAAGATTTGCTTAGAGTAGGACGAATAATAAAGCTTAAGAAATAAAAGGTTGAAAAACAAAATTATTAACAAAAATCATATATGCTCGAGAAATGTAATGAAAAGTCTTCATATTTCAATGTTAAATATAAAGTTATCAAATATCAAATAAAACAAAACATAAGCTTAAATAATAGAGAGCAACCAAGATTTGCTTAGAGTAGGACAAATAATAAGGTTAAGAGATAAAAGGTTGAAAAGCAAAATTATTAACAAAAAGCCCAGTAATGGGTATGATGCCCAGTAATTGACTACGGCCTTTTGTCAGCATGTGAATTTAAAAAGCCCACTTTGTTATAAAAGACAAATCTCAAAAACAAACGTTACAGAGGACCAATAATTGAATACATCTAATGTAGGAGACTGACTTTGCCTCTAACACTCTTCCTGTTGTTCAGTTGCTTATCAGCCTAATTTTTTAGCTAAAATCTACTAACATTAAGGTTGAAAATTAGTATTTGCAATTTGTGAGGGGCGGTCTAGCTGTATAAGGAATTAACTCTGTTGATTTATTATTTATATTTGTTATATAATAGTTAATTGTTTGTTGGTCCCATCAGTCAAATAAAAACTAATTAAAAATTATTTGATTAGGCAATTCACTGTATGTAAGTATCACTACCAGTTGGTAAATAAATAAATAAATAAATATATATATATATATATATATATATATAATTTGTGGGGCCACCCCATTAATGCATATCATGGGTCCTTCCATAAAATAAAAATAAAAATAAAAAATTATTTTAATTGTTAAGAGCAATTTCAAAATTATAAAAGTACTACTTAAACACTATTTTTTTTCTCCCTTATCTTTCCATTTTTGGAGAGATATAAAATGAGGGATAAGGAGTGATATTTATCCATCCCTATCTCTCTCTATCCTTTCTTTTTTTCTCTTTTTAAACCACCCAAACACAAATCATATTTTTTTTTTTTTTTTTTTTTTTTTTTTTTTTTTCTGCCCCTCCAAATCATTCCATCCAAAAGCACTCTCAAGGATTAGATTGTTGGAAAGTCCAACACAATGTTACAAGAATAACCAGATAATTTTTATGTGAAGACATATTAAGCTTTGAAAACTCACTTATCACTGGTTAACTAGTAACAATGTCTCGAATGGAATCACCCAAATAGGAGAAAGCCCAAGTGCATTACGTCTCAAAAACTGTTCAATCCTCATCCCAATTCCCACAATATAAAGCTGGTCTCAATTTGGTCAACCCAAATTATTATGAGCATGCATTTTGATATTTCCACAAGACACTTCTTATGAAGAATCAACAAAACTAAATTTATCAATGCACTTTTAGCTCAAATCAGATATCAGTATGCATGTGCAATGTCTCAAAAGCATGCTATATGATTCCTTCCAAACTCAATCAAAAAGTTGCTGTGTCTCATACTCCATGAGAACATTGAACAATAACTGCTCTCTACAAATGAAATGCTAGCTTACAAGAATGCCAAGTTTCTTTGAGTACCATGATAAAATAAAAGCAAATAAATTCACCAATTCTAAAATAAAATTAAGCTTGACAATGATTCAATTTTACTAAATACAATTCCTTGATACTGACTATGAGTAATTTCGACAGTAGTATGTGTGTAAGACTTGATGTTTCTTCGCATAGGAAAAAAAATAAAAAATTGCTCATCAACTGGAGGTGATCCTGTGGATTTTGCTCGACGAGAGCATTTCTACCATATTCAGCTTTTGCTGACCCCAAGTAGTTGGAAAACAGCTTTGTTGAGTTTCGGTTTCATTTCATATTTTTTATACTTGTATTCATGGTAAGGGCTTCTCATACCCTCCTCTTCTTCCAAAGGCTTTGTTGAGTTGCAATCTCAATTCAGATATTGAAGTACTTGTATCCAAAGTCAGGGCTTGTCATCCCCTCTTCCCAATCACCCATGCGGCGACCGCCAAAAACTACCTGTTGAATGCCCACATATCTGACAACAAAAGGAAAATTAAACCAAGCTAATATTCTGAATTAATGATAGATTTCCATGTTTCAGTGACTGTTAAGAAGTCTGTATGGGAAGTCTTACTCTGAGCTCAATACAGTTAGACAGTTGAGGAGTACATCGATGGCAAAGAAATCAGACGTACCAAGATCCACCCTGTCACATGGTATCCTTATTAGTATGCTCTTCTGTGAACAAAATATAGCAATAAAGAATGTGATACGATATTCACTACCACAGAGAAATGCGAAAACACATACCAAACCCGGCCCCAGTTGTCCTGAAACTCAACGTTACTAATATCATGGAATGATGATGGCATCACTTTAAAACCCTTATCTGCATCATAGAGAGGATCGTACTCCATTGATGAATTCGCCAACTGCAAAGCACACAATATTAGCTTTTCCATTGTTACTGCTATAAGTAGAACGAAAACCATAATTACAATGACAAGAGAAAGCATGAAATTTCCATTTCTAAACAATTCCATCAAGCCGGAAGGATGCCACAATATGGAAACTGCTCTAACATCAGACATAAGGGAATACATGACTACTTAAAAATAAATTCAATCCAGTTTTTTTTGTGTTCTAATCTTTAGACATAACGTGTCACCCACAGCCTGTTAATCATTAAGATGGAACTCTTTATAAACAATTATATTATAAATTGAAATTTACTAATACTGTGAATCTACAATACAAGTCCATCTGTTGGTAAAACTATTGTACATAAAAAGGGTAAAGAATAAAAATATCTTTCTTTGATTCATCATGACATGTTGAAATTTTATATGAGAAGGATGGAGGACAACAGAAAGAAAAAGCATAATATCATGATCTCCTTCTCCTCTTCATTTCCTCCCAATTTCTTGGCAACCAAACAGAGCATTGGGAAATATGCAAGGGCAGTTTGTTAAAAATTTAAGATTGTACTCATTACTAGTTTAACGAAGATTAATTTCCTTACTCTCTTCTTATTCAAATGACTTGAATTATATTTCACTAGAGCAAGAAAGTGGCCAGTACCCAGTGCCAATCTTGCCTAAGCGGGGTGCTACGAGGGGAAAATGAAGACAGGCCTATAGTAAGAGAATCAGGTGAATATTATACATAATTCTCTCATCAAGCATATGTAACCACAAATAATCTCACTTGATTCAGCTATTCATAAATTATTCTAAATATAGCTAATATTACAAATAATTTCTGACTAACAAACTCTCTAAATTGTTCCCAATAATTTAGGGCCAATACATGCTTCTCATGCTTTACCTTCTCCTACTCCATCCACGAAAATATCCCACAATATACCAGAATTCAAGGCAGAAGTACCTTTTTAATTCTTTTACGAATACCAAATTTGTTAGGAAGAGGCAAGACGACTGGAGGCACAAGTCAAGAACACATAAAATAACAAAACTGGCAGCAACAAGAAACAACTGACTATAAACACGACTCTATCAAGAGATTTTACAAGACGATATCCTTTTGTCGATCCCCTAATACAGATCCAGCTTCAAGAGACAACATTTGCCCCCACAATCATCTAGCAAGACCACAATGCTTCTCCATCAAAGACTTTTTATTTATTTACTATTGTTTCCTAAGGTTCTCCAAAATATATATATATATATATATGACCCATTTTCTCTTGCGGGTTGTGGAGCCTATTTAGTACTCTCTTGTAGCCCGATATATAAGAGCGCTTTGGGTTTGGAGTGGGACAACGAGAGAACACTGAAATCACAGGAACGAGAGTGAGAGTGAGAGTGAGAGCAAGAGCGAGAGCTAGGGTTTGGGGGCTGAAACTTGTAATCTCATGTTTTTCGCATAATGAAATCTTTCGCCGGATCTTCACCATGGACATAGCTCAGCTTTTGGGTGAACCACGCAAATCTTTGTGTTTTTTGTGTGGGGCGTGTTTGTTTTTCTGTCATGATTTGTTCTTGTTTCGCTGCGTTCGTCATAATATCATCGCTGGCAGAAAGTTCGTCTACCATCCTTTTCCCAACTTTTTTTATTTTTATTTTTCAGTTACTTCCTAAAATTCCAATGCTTTACCAGAGCTAATATTTCCTCAAACCTAAATTTGTGGATAGTCCACAATGCATGCTTAAGTATTCTTGTTTCTAAGAAATTAAGTGCTTTCCTTTACTCCACAATTGCAAATTTAGGTATAACCGACTGCGAAAGCAGAAAACAGATGCTGCTTGTTGTTGACTTTCAGCAGTCTATTCGGCTCTATGAAACTGAATTCTTCTCACAGGACTTTCTGCTGGAAAATCCTAAGGGTTGAAAGAAAACAGCGGTCACTGTAACTCAAGAGATTTTGGAGTGTATGAAATATCCATAGAAGACTAGCATGCAGGTCTCATAGCAAGCCTTGAATTTGAGCTCCATATATCCACTTCCTAATTTTTATCTTTACAGATAGGTAGGTTGAATCTCTTCCATTCTCCCTCTATTTATCCTTTACTAAGTTCATCCTTGGGGAAAAACGTTGCTTTAATTCCCTCTCGGTGAATAGTCTTAATTTCCTCTCTTCCCTCCTGTGGAGCCCCTACAGACATAAAGGTTCTAAAGGCTCCACTTGACTGGCTCTAAGTCAATGAATATCTCCTTCCCTCCCACTTTCATGTTCAAGGGTTGTAAGTATAGATAAATTTCCTAGAGGTAAGTAAAGGATTTGCTTCTGGCCTTCTGCTCTAGTAGAAAAGTTAATCTTCTCTTTCCTTTACTAGGAATAGACAAGTCTCACTCTTTTTTTTTTTTGATAAGTAAAAAATTTTATAAAAAAAAAACGCTCAAAAGGGGAGCGGAACCCAAGAAAATACAAAAGACCACAAAGGCCTCAAGCCTTCAAAGAGGCTAAAAAATCAACTACTTCCTCCAAAGAACTATGATCTCTTCCTGAAACCCAACAAAAAAGAGTAGAAATAATCGAGAATTTAAGCACCGAAATCGACAAAGCCTTTCCTTCAAAGAATCTCCTATTCCTTTCAAGCCATAAACACCACCACACACAAAGCGGCGTAGCCCTCCACGCATCCTGACTGAGAGCCCCCACAGGGCAACCTCTCCACGCCTCAATCAACCCTCTAGCAGATCCAGGCATAACCCAAGAAACACCAAAAAAGCCAAGCATCAAAACCCAACACTGTCTAGCCAAAGGGCAATGAATAAGAAGGTGATTCACAGACTCCTCATCACTAAGACACATAGAGCAAGGTCTCACTCTTGCCCTTAATAGGAATCCAGAAGCAGAGGTCAGCTTGTTTTAAGACTCACTAGACAGAAGGCAACACAAAAGTTGATTGCTAAAATAACAATGCACGAAACAATTATGATCAAACTAGAAGTTGAAGAATCAAGTTACCCAAAAAAATTTATGCAAAAATAACAACATGACAAACTTATTGTGACAATTAAACAAAATAATACACAATAATTTATGAACAAACCTGCAGATTTGAAGAATTGAAGGCACCCAAACGGCCCATGACATACCATGACTGAATAACCTGATGTGTAAGAAACTAAAATTGTGTAAATGTAACAAATATTACCAGCCATACAAAGGAAAAAATGCTGAACATTTTTTCACATCTAAATTTTGATAAATGAAACAATAAAAACAAGAACTCATAACTGGTAGCAAGAACCAGAAAATCTACATACACTACCAATAAGGTCAACATCTTGATCAGATGGTGATCCATATAACTCAAACCATATGTAGGAATCGACAGGATTGAAGCTGTAAAGAAACAAACATCAGCAACAACAAATGCTTCATATCTCCAGCAGATAAATGAGGCCTTAACCCAATAAGAGAGATATTTATACAAGTATAACACACACATACACGCACAGAGGGGGATAGAGATAGAGAGGGAACAAATAAATGTGAGGTTAATTACTCTCTAAAGCTGACTTTGAAAGCAAGAACAGAGCCTGTTTTAGACTTGCGAAAATCTCGACCCTTCGTTCGAACCCTTTCTTCAACCTATGAAAAGTCCAACAAACATATTATAGATCTTCCACACAACATAGTTCAAAGATAGGATGCGCTGCAATATTATAGGAAACTTTTTACAATTTATGGCCATTTCTTAAATTATTGACTTCAATATAGTGTAATCCTATTGTTCTTATGCTTCCAATAAAATTGTAGTGTATCAGGATAAAATAAAAGCATCACTATTCACCATCTGGAAAGAGGGTTACCATCTTTGAACATGACCGCAATGTTTTAGGAAAGATTTTATGAGTTACAGCAGCTTCTTAAATTCTTTGACTTAAATACAGTTTAATCTTACGTCTATACAGACCGCCAACAAAATTGCAGTGTATCGGCATAAAATAAAAAGCATCATGATTTACCATCTGGCATCTACTAAGACTATCTGGTATGTGAATTTTATAAAAATCAATATGTTTATTAGGTTTCAAGCATCCAAGATGTCATTTAACAAAATATTCCCAAAATTTTGACCATCCAGCATGTCCGTCCTTTTCTGCTTGAAATAAATGATGATATTGTCAAAGCCAATTTCTTGCACACTTGATCTACTAAGATATACCCAACATATTGTACTCAATTTTGTTAGTATTGCCATGAACAATACATGCTAAGGATGTGAAAGCTAAGCTTTAAAGTTTAAACTTAATTTGTGGACACTTAGATGATCTGACAAGGGGTGCGTCCAATTATCTAGCAGATCAGTAACTTGAATTCATTCCGAGAGATTATTTGATGGCTGTTAGACCAAGAATATATTAGGCAATATGTTAAGTTTCACTATTTGAAAGATTTACCAAACTTCACTAAATAGAGCTTTCATTTAGGTAACATATTAGTTGATTCAAACAACTTAGAGTGGGGCCTTGATCATCATCCAGCAACTCAAATTCTTCTTGTGTTTTAACTTGATAACAATTTAAGATGATAAAATATGGTCAAAAAGTAGCCATCTAACAACTATTGGAAGAGAGAAGTGCTAAGAAGAAGAAAAAAAAAACTATATGTGGCATCATTATAAGGAAATAGCAATTTGCTTTAATAGAATGGAAATTATTCAGTAAAGTTCAACCACATGGATTTGGTCTAATCCACTTGGTAATCACTTGATCTGAACTGATATAATAGGGTCATCATACAATATGATCACAAAAAGTATTCAGTTGAGTTATTCTTCTATTACTAATTACAGATAATGTTTACATCCAGAAACTCCCCACTGCAAAGTAGCTAATCTGGTACCTAGATGTTAATTTCTGGCAGAAAAGTAGCTAATCTGGCAGGTGTCACTGGCTTATTTTTTCTATTTGTAATTGATTGTAACCAATCATGCTTCTTTCAGCCTTGAATATTTCTCATATAACCTACTTATCATAATACATCTCATAAAACCCCACTGCAAAAAGTAAATGGTCTTCATCATTGAAATTGCTAAGTTATTGAATTCAAAATGATGCATAAACCAATTAAAGAATCATAATGAAATTATAAATTTAAGTTCTGTTTGCTGAGGCTCATTTCCCAATGCACCCTTAACTAAACAAGATTAAAAGAAGTACAAGAAGCATGATAGGTTCTGCCGATAATGATACTATACGAAAGGGGATGCAGTGAACGGTGCATTACCCTTTTCCTCATTAGCTCAGGATTCCCAATGCTATCACCAAGAACAGCCCGGAGTTCAGCATCATTTTTGCAAGCATCTTCCAGGACTCTGCATGCAATTCAATCCACATAAAGAAAATGAAAATTGCTCCAGGATGAAAATTAATAGTCAAGATGTAATTGAACAATCATTTAAACGGTAATAGAGAGAGAGGGAGAGAGACTTGGCCCAAGTAGGATAATTGTGAAGACGGTCATATTCACGTTTTCTCTTCTCCTCTCGAATCTTGAGCAATCTTCGTCCCCTGGCAGTCGTACCGGACCCTTTGGCAGCTTTTCCATTCAAAATTCCACAGCTGCTGGTACTAGTGATGGTATCAATGTCTTTACCAAAATCATCATTGTTATCATTAGATGGTGATAATGCTGCTACGAGGAGTAGTTTATTCCGTGAGGACTTCATACTGAATGCCCCGTAATAACTGGTAGAAATCATATTGTTTTGGGGGGATATTGCCAGAAACTGCGCTGCTAATAGAGGACAAGAGACCAAGGGCTTCCATAGCAGGGCCTCCATAGCATTGAGAGCTTCACTAATCTCCAAATCTTTGACAAAAGACAAAAAGAAACAGACTTTTTGAATTCTGTGAGGGAAGAAGATAGATCCTTATCCCACTAAATCCCTAAGGATAGCAATAAATCCTAATTAATGTGACATGAGATTGAGAGATATTTCAGACTGTAAACCCTCTTTGTGTACCTAGAGATGAAAACAAGAATGCAAGCCCAGACTAAAAGAAGCAATTTGATAGTAGTTCGCTGTGATGCTATGTTTGGAAGCACCAAATCAGCGCCTTGGAATTGGAAGAAATTCAGTAAACTGAATTACAAAGACTTGAAAGCCAGCCCATCTCTGCCTTTTTTTTAAATGAGTAAAAGACAGCCCTCTCTATCTAGTTGATTATATGACAGTTTGAGCCAATCATTTTCCCATTCTCAATTCTTATCTAAGCGAAAAGATACTAATAGAAAGTTATATTCAAGACCCAAAAACACTGTACAAGAAATTCCTAAAAAAAATGTTTCTAAGAAGGCTAAGAAGCCAACCAATTTAGTGACACAAGGCTGAGTTGATTGATTCAGCATAACAAATGCCATAATAAACAAATCCTCACACACAAAACACAGTCATCAAAATACCGAAGGAAGCAACTTTCAACATAAAAGTAAACGCACAGAACAAATAAATCGAGCTCATTACCTGCTTCAACACATAGTAGCTAAACGAGATAAAAACCCAATTAAACCCAGTCCGCTCAAGCTCTCTGTGTTCAAGCTCAGTGAACACAGACACGCACAGAGAGAGAAGGGCGTAAAGTAGGTAGTGAAATGCGCTGCGAGATTGATAGCTTGAGTTGAGAGTCCTTCGAGAGCCAGCTTGCTTGGGAGTTCAGGAGAGAGAAAGAGGGGGTGTAACAGGATAGACTGTGTTTTTCCTTTACAATTCCTTTGGAAGCGAAAGAAAAGGAGGGAGAGAAGTGAGTTGGAGAACGAAAAAGGAAATGGATTATTAACCCTCCAGTTTGTCTTTTGATTTCCTCGTAAAAACCAAAAAAAAATATATATATATATAAGAGAAAAAAAAACAAAGAAAAAAGAAAAGAAAAAAAAAAAGAGATAATTTATAATGTTTTTCTTCAATATTATACTACACAAAAAAGATAAATAACTAAAATTTTAGTACTTCGTAAAACTGCGAAGGTTGGTTGGGTCCAGGTGAAGGATTGTTAACCCGACCCGTTATCCGGGGTCTACTGCACTGAAACCCAATTATCCCTCTCGATTCTTGGGGTTTATGCGTCTCTTCCAAAATTCACTCAAATCGACCGACGACGACTCCTTCATTCAACTATTGACAACTTTCCGGCGGAGATCACAACCAGGTATTCTAAGTATTCAACTTTCATTTACCACATCTATCACTATCACTATCACTATCATTCATTCGGAGTATTCAATATCTTCGCCTTTCTCATCCCTTACTATCTCTATATACGCACACGTTCGTTTAAGTTTATCTACCACTACCTACATACATACATACATATATATATATATATATAGACACACACACACACACACACAGGCATGTCAAAGTTTTTGTTTGTTAAAGATTATATTAAAACACCATTCTAGCTAATTCAGTCTTACAAATTTAACTTTCTCAATTTGAATACAAACTAGAAAGTGTGTTTCAAAAGATGATGGACTATGATACAAAATGGTCTAATATCTAGTGGATTTTTTTTTTCTTTCAAATTCCAGTGTTTTACTTCTTTTTTTATTTTAAAAATTTTTCGTATTCACTTTTTTATGTATATGCATTAGTGCTGTTATTGTATCAGCTCATGTTAGGAACTATAAGCCTCGAAGAGGAGATCCACGGGGACCCGTTGATCAATTAATAGCATATAGATCCGTTTATTCAACACAGTTCTTATATATCCAGTTTTACTTTGATAAAGTGCATAAGAAATAGCCTAATTTGCCTTAGAAGAGAAGGTATATCAGTTTACCTTTTCTGTCCGTAGCTTACCAATTTGTGTGGTGCGTTCAGTTATCCATTTTTTTTTTTTTTGTGGCTTAACATTTGAGTTTTACATTCATACAAGGATATTTAGCTTTAATCCGGTTCTACTAGGCTTTGATATCATGGTATGCAAGTGAACATGTTTTTTGTTTGATTCAGCTTTGACAAACTTGATTGTATTTGGAACCCCCAATATTTTTCTGGAGCTCTTATTCTCTGTTTTTATGTGATTGATCACCGTAAAAAATAATGAAATCAATCACAGCATACGGAAACAGTGTCTTCTGGCCCTTTTTTAAAAGCAAAGAAAAAAAAAAAAAGTATGAAGACGTTTGGTTTTGGAGGGAAATAAAGACCCAATTAGGCAGCAAAATTATTTGTATTGAGACGATGGTTGTAAAGCACATTTCCATTCTTTAAGAAAGCCATGTAGGAAATTTGGCTAATCTAAGAATATTAGTTCACAATAAGATGCATATAAGAAACTTTGTTGTGTTACTCAATTTGCTTCCATGCGTCAACAAGACGGTCTCTCCGGAAGTAGTTGCTTGAGGCGAAGGTGGTGGTCCACGATGGTGTTCATCGTAAGGGCATATGTCATCCAGGATCAGATGGTGCTTCTCTCACTTTAAGTCAGGTCGAGGTGTGTATAAATCCCGAGGAAAAGTCACCTCCACATATTTTGGTTTTAGTCACCAAGTGTCTCCTTGAATATCAGAGGACTGTGACACATCTGCATACTCTAGATGAACTTCAATGGTAGCCACAGAAGGCTATGAGCGATCCACAGCCTCACATCGAGATGCGGAAGCCCCCTGAGTTCTGCTTCCAATTCAGATAGTTCTCAAAGTATATCAGAATACTTTCAATCTTCAAGTGAGGCTTATATGAGGAAAAGAGGCATGTCTTCAAAGATGCATGTACAGGCAGTAAGGCTTATTTGAGAAGTAGAGATCCTCGTGGTAGGACTTATCTACGGACAATAGGAACTTACCAGCGGCAAGGCTTATATGAGAACAAGATGTTTTTGTAATGTAAATGTTGGGCCCTATTAGAGATAAAAAGTGTACGTGAAGAATATTGCATGATCTGTCTGCACTTTGTTAGCTATCCCCGCATAAATACTACGTAATAAATAAGAAGACAGGGGACCTTATGTAGAGAGAGATACAAATTGCATGGCCGGAGAAACATGCAATAAAGTCGCATTAGAGGCTCTGTGTTTGCCAACTATTATAAGCTTGTATAGGCTATAGAGACTGAGAATGCTTAAGTTAATATACATAGAGGGCAAGATAAGCCTATTGGAGATGAGTTTGCAAAGGATAAGGTTACTTGGGAGCCATAAGATAAGCCAGCCGAGAATAATCCATATAATATGTCTACTGAAAATAATAAGCCTGTTGAGGGACGGATTGTGTGATGCCGCAAGGCAAGGTAGAGGTCGTGAGATAGAACTCTCGAGGCAGAGGTCTTCGATGTAAAGTTCCTCGAGGTCTCCACAAAGCGCCCTTACAATGATGTGTAAAGTCAATCATGTCAAGTCATTGCTTACATGGCGTTGGCGTGTCAACAAAGGAGTGCCTGATACCCACACTCTCTATGCTTATTTATCCTGTAATAGTTTGTTAGTTTCTGACTAAACTTTGACTCTTACATTCAGATATGGATATATACAGGTTCAATCCTATTCCACTAAGCTTTCGATCATGATGTGTGGGTTTCATATACTCCGCCTCTATCCACTAGATTTTATTTCTTGTGTTTTTTATGGCCTTCAGTGTACTTTTATGCTATTCAGATCATGATTTGTCAGTTATAGTAGTCGTGAATTTTTCTTGACACCAGATGTGTTGACTTGGCCAATTCCTGGGGTCATGGACATTCATTATGACTCGGCTGATACACAGCGACTAGGCTGATACATAGAACTATGATTCAGATATCAGGAAAAAGTTGCTTTTTTCCTTTTATCGTTGACACTCTCTACCTTAACCAAACATAACATAAACCATATCAACAATTTTCTACCGTATTAGGTTTCCATCTAAATAAGGGATTATAAAAAATTTGGACCGAAATAACATTTGGATATTTATCGTGAATTCCTTCTTTTTGAAGGATTTGGAGGGCTCAGATTCTCACCTGGAGAGAAAGGGGGATTGGTGGGAGCTCTCATTCCACAATCTGAAATTGCAAAAGGAATTGGCTTGCTGCACATGGCCCATTGGTGACACACCCACCGTGACATAACATTGCCACTGCCCTTAACCGTCAATATCATCGTATGCTCCGCCACCACCACTTGCACCAGAAGCGTTGCTACAGCCACCATTGTGCTTCCTTCATGGCCATTGTTGGAACCACCACTGCACTAATACTACCACCACAGTGCTGCTGTATCTGCCATCACCATTGCCTCTATTGCCACCATCCCACCATCATGCCATTGTTCCCCACAAATTTATTGGTACTTTATATATTCATCCAAATTGTATAACTTAATCCAAGGGGAATCATTTCAAATTCCTTATTTTCTTCTCCCTAAGGGGCTTCTAAGTTGAGCTTAAAATTTAACGAAATCAATAAATTGTTGAAGATATTCTTATTGCTATTTTACATGGTTCAAGTTGGTTCCTTGTCAAAAAAAAAGGATTTGCTTCGATTGTTATTCAAAAATTTATTTAATTTATATTTGTTACTAATTACATGAGTGTCATGTTTTATTGTGTATGTAACATCCATAAAATTTGATACCAATTGTTTTATTGTGTATGTAACATCCATAAAGTTGAAGATATTCTTATTGCTATTTTACATGGTTCAAGTTGGTTCCTTGTCAAAAAAAAAGGATTTGCTTCGATTGTTATTCAAAAATTTATTTAATTTATATTTGTTACTAATTACATTATGTAATTTATATTTGTTACTAATTACATGAGTGTCATGTTTTATTGTGTATGTAACATCCATAAAATTTGAACTTTTTGCCAATAAATTTTTTTCTCATAAACACAGTTCTCTATGCACTCTATATATATATATATATTTAATGCACTCTATTTTCTAGTTAAGTGTGTTACCTGGTAAAGTTTATATTTCCTAGTTAAGGTGTTTCGGTTAAAGTTTCATGAGTCCCAAGCTAGTGATTTCCGGTTAACTAGTATTGCACTTTATTTTCTAATTAAGTTACTACGGGTTAAAGTTTCATAATTTCTACTGGGAGTGCAAACGTGAAAACAAGACGAACTTCCAACAAGTAGCTTGGCTCGCCTTGTAATATATTTTTATTAAATAAATAAACCAATTCCAATCACAATTTCTAAACTTGTTTGTTAAACAATTTAGAGCTAAAATATTTATACTTGCAACGCTAATTAATAACTTAAAATTTTAGATTAATGAGCAAAATTCCACCCGTTACAATTGGTATCAAATTAGACTAAATTTAATTTTTGATTAGTAAAGTTGTGACCTTGCGCTTGAATCCAATGCCAATAAATCCAAAATGGGACCCAATTAAAGAGAATCACACAAAAAGCCTGATAGGAGTCCAGCTTCAGCCACAATTGAAAGAGTTGCACCAGAATAAGATTGAGCACACTGGCAAGTGTAATTTCAAGCTCTTTAACCATTGTAAATAAAGAGTATTATTATGTAGTTTCGGTCGAAAATATTTAAGCTTTTATTTTTTTAGTTATCTAACGGTGATTGACCAGGACAATTTAAAATAGTTGCAGCTGATTAAAAATATAACATGATCACAATTTTAAAAAAAAAACCAACAACAACGAGAATCAAAATTTATAATCAAAACATGTTTTGGAGCACGGAAGGAGAATCAAGATTTGCTTAGAGTAGGACGAATAATAAGCTTGAGAAATAAATGGTTGAAAAGCAAAATTATTAACAAAAATCATATGTGCTGGAGAAATTTAATGAAAAGTCTTCATATTTCAATATTAAATATAAAGTTATCAAAATAAAGCAAAACATAAGTGATAAATTTG